TCCATTGTTGGGTGGTTTGCTTTGGAACTCAACCATCAAAACAGGGTGGCAGGGTTGCGTGTTTGGTCGATGCTGTACATGTTTGACCTTTGCGGTGGGAATTTCTGGGCCCTTGCCCTCAAGACTTTGGCCGCCTCCACCAAAGCACACTGATAGTCCGTCGGCAAGATGCAAAATTGAGATCGCCCACAATGGCGGGCGATTTGCCATGTTAACATGCACAGAAATACCGGCCAGTCACGACCCTGGCACCTAAAACATGAGAAAAGGGTGTGAAGGATTGACACGACGAAGGCAATTCGCCAATAGTGACAGGTGTTGTTTTTCTTCCCGAGATAGTTCCAAATGGCATGGTTGAACGATGTCAATCGCTTTGATATGTCAAGCCAGTTGACCACATTTCAGTCAGTGCAACCATATGCCCCAACCTGTCTGCCCCCTGGGGTAGCACGGAGCACCCCCGGCCAACCTGCGCCAGGCAGGGCCGCGGCACGGCGAGGAGCCTCCGGAGCAGCCCGAGAGGAGGCGGCTACCACGGGGCAAGATGAGCGCGCGCCAGGGCGAGGACGGGGCTTTGTCGGAGCGATGCAGAGAAACTCGTGGTGTATTGCGTGAATTACGTGTACGTGCACATCTTTGTTGTGCTTCGTGCGGTGTCGTTTTTTTGTCCTTCGTGTGCACATGGCTTTGTTGAGTGTGCGTCATTGTCTCGGAGGCAGGCTAACAGAGCAAGCTGCGGCAAGCCCGCAAATTCAGATGGTGGGACTATTTTTCGGGGTCCTGTCACCCGATGATTTCCCACAGGCAGACATCAAGTATCATCAAATATCAGGAACTGGTCAGGCACTGACAGGGCCCTTTCCCCTCCACTGAAGATCAACGCAGCCTTGCGTGGCACGCTCCAAGCAGAATGCAGAGAAGGCGTTGGTTGGATGCTGAAGGGCACAGAAGGATGCCGTGTTTGTGTCAATGTTCCCTCGAAGGCAGTTATGGTTTCTTCGAAAGCTCGCAAGCACAGTTGGTGTGTGAACGCGTAGAGTGAAGCGAAACTGTCGTTCAGGGAAGAAGGAAATAATTGTGGTTCTTGAACCGGAAAACATCGTCCGGCTTCCCACCTGTGTGACCCCTTTTATCTTCAATTAACGTCTGCCCCCTTTCTTACTCATTGAGCAAAGCTTTGGTCGAGCTTGTGTTGGTCCCTCAAATTCAGAACTGGCTAGGATCAATACACCCTCCAAGCGTACGGCCCACCCCAGACACCCGTGGCACATTCAAACGCAGAGGTTAGATTTTGTTCGCAGCTCTGATTTAGAACTTGTTTCCTGTGCCATTGCACGTTCCGAATCGCAAGGAGCCCATTGAGCGGGAGGCTGCTGCCACCCCGAGCGCCGCGAGCACCGCGAGCGCCAGACCCCGTCGAAGGGAAAAGGCCTGGGGCTCCAGTGGCATGTGGCGACCCCGGCACCCGTGAAGCTGCGCGGCGAAACGCCCCGAAAGGATTTTCCAGGCTCCGGCCTGCGAGCCTGCGTGCCATGTGGCTTTCGGCCGCGACTGCACAAGTAGTTGGTCCTTGGCCGGCAAAATCCTCGGCTTACCATTTACTTGGCTTGGATTAGTTCGGTTTGTTTCCCGACTTCAGATTTGCACCTTTTACGTCCAAACCTGTGACAAGCAATGTGCCGGGGCTGACTACCAGTGCCTCCTCCCTTGTCGCATGGGGAGCGGAGCGCGGCGGAGGATAGCTGTCGGGGCACATTCTGCAAAGGCTGTCGGCCACTGCCCAGCAGGTCTTTGCATTCCTGAAGGTGGCTGAATCGTCTTCAAAAGAAATGGTAAGGCCCCGGGCCGGACATCTTGCTTGATTCAGCCGCCTGCGAAGCAAGCGAAGCCAATGGCATGGACACGATGCATTGAGACCAAGCTATGAATTCAGGCTTAACTCGACTCGACCTGCAAAACCGACCATGCTCATGCCAGGCTACACTTGCACGCTTTGGGCAGGTCACGCGAACAGGTTGGCACCGTTGATGCCACCTGCCCGCGTGTGTTGAAAAGGCACAATGACCCATTAATTATTGATCGCGCGCGGAAGTCTGCGCCGATTGACCAAGGCACACCTTGGCACACCTTGGCTGGTTACGCTGGCGGCACGAGAAGTGCCCAGCCGAAATGCTGCCCCACTTGCGTTCGGCAAACACCAAATGGCAGTGGTGCATCTTTTAGGGTCCCCAACACAGAACTGGATCGCCCGACCAGGCAGCGCCGGAAGATATTCACCACCCTTGAATATCTCTCTATATATGTATACACTAGCATGGTTTAGGTTGCAAGAAACGACTCGTCATAATTCAGGAACTACTGGTCCTTCGTTGATCAGAGTTTTAGCCAAGTGTATTAGAGGCCGGCCGAATTTGGGCCAATTCGCGTTTGCCGCTTGCAATGGGCGCCGGGCTCCTTTGGACAGGCGCATATGATAGAATCGTTGATGCTCTTTAGTCTTCAAGTTGTTTAGTTGCATGATCACTCAGCGAAACTCGGAATGTGGATTCGAGGCACCTGCTTCGTCTGAGAGATTTGCCAGGGATGCCCATCGAGAATACGTTCATCGCCGTATAGCAACTATCGATGAATGTCTTGCTGTCGTCTTGCCGTTGTGATTTCGCATGTGCCAGATATTTGAGCTCTCTGAGCGTGCTTTCAGGCTCCTGCCCTGTGGAAAAGGAGAGGAGCGGACTCTGAAGGCGTGACGACTCACTCCTCGGCCGACCAGGGAGTCGCCCGGCACGGGGGAGTTCCGTGCTGTGGCAGCGCCCTTTGCCGGGAGCGGACAGATTCGGTGACCACCAGGAGAAAGCCAAGGCTTAAGCAGCGAAGCGTAAGGTTTTGGGTGGCCGGCCCAAGCACCCCAAGACAATTTGTCTCAGACAGCCCTGTCTCAGCTGTTGTCAGCGATCATGCCAGTCATTCTCCATGTGAGCTGAAAGCGATTGAAGCAAGCACTGATCCCACCAACGGTTGAAAGATTTCCCCCAACTCCTTGGGCAGTCGAAGACCAAATTGGGCCTTGCAGTGAGGCACATGTTGGCACTTCACGAAGGGGGTGCTTGATAATTCAGTGGCTAGGTGTTTAAACTAGACCACGGTTGGCCCGAAAGCAGAACATCGCAAGCGAGGTCGGCCCAACGCTGCAGGATGCGTTCTTTTTCCCTACACGAAGCATTCGTGAAGCAAGCGCGAGACAGCACCAGGCAAGGTGCTCTGCGCAAACTGGTCGGTGCAAGTTGGTCTGCGCAAGTTGCTCTACGCAAGTTGCACTGTGCAAGTTGCTCGGCGCAAGTTGCTCCGCGCAAGTTGCTCCGTGCAAGTTGGTCCCTGCAAGTGGCTCCCTGCAAGTTGCTCTGTGCAAATTGCTCCGTGCAAGTTGCTCCCTGCAAGTTGCTCTGTGCAAGCTGCTCTGTGCAAGTTGCTCTGTGCAAGTTGCTCTGCGTAAGTTGCTCTGCGCAAGTTGCTCTAGGCAAGGCGCTCTGCGCAAACTGGTCGGTGCAAGTTGGTCTGCGCAAGTTGCACAGAAGTTGCTCTGTGCAACTTGCTCTGCGCAAGTTGCTCTGCGCAAGTTGCTTTATGCAAGTTGCATCTTGCGACGCCCGCCCGCGAACCAGAGAGGAATCGAACCCGCGACCCGCCGGCCCCGGGAGCAGGCGCGCGAACCACGAGACAACTCCCGAGGACCAGTTCGAAAAACAAAAGCCTGCAAAAAACCTTGAGTTTTTGCAACTCGACCACGCCGATTCCCGCAGAGGGTTGCCGCACGCCGATCCCCGCAGAGGGTCGCGCGGGAACTATAGAAATCGCAAAAAACCTCGAGTTTTTGTACCTCGACCACGCCGATCCCCGCAGAGGGTCGCGCGAGCATGTTAAAAATCGCAAAGAACCTCGAGTTTTTGCACCTCGACCACGCCGATCCCCGCAGAGGGTCGATTTTCGTGTAGTGTCGTCGGCACTACCCCGCCGCCCTAAGAAGAGATTTTAACTCCTCGCAAGTCAATTGCACTTGACTCCTTGCACTTGCACTTGACTCCTTGCACTTGCAACTTGCACTTGACTCCATGCACTTGCAACCTGCACTTGACTCCTTGCACTTGCAACTTGCACTTGACTCCTTGCACTTGCAACTTGCACTTGACTCCATGCACTTGCAACTTGCACTTGACTCCATGCACTTGGCTCCTTGCACTTGGCTCCTTGCACTTGCAACTTGCACTTAACTCCGTGCACTTGCAACTTGCACTTGACTCCATGCACTTGGCTCCTTGCAACTTGCAATGACTCCTCATGACTCCTTGCAATGACTCCTTGCAATGACTCCTTGCAATGACTCCTTGCAATGACTCCTTGCAATGACTCCTTGCAATGACTCCTTGCAATGACTCCTTGCAATGACTCCTTGCAACTGACTTGCAATGACTCCTTGCAATGACTCCTTGCAATGACTCCTTGCAATGACTCCTTGCAATGACTTTCATGATGATGATTCCTTGCAATGACACCTTGTAATGACTCTCATGAGAACAACTCAAGTGAACCCAGCGGAAGAACCCTTCGCCATGCTTTCGGGAATAAAAGGACATTTATTTGATCTCGTGTCGTTGCAAGTGTTTTTCCTGACAAGCAGCAAGCTCAGACCAAGACAGTCAGACCCACCTAATATGACCATCATTGACGTAGCCGCAACATTGGGGCCGATGACAGAGAGGCCTTGTATAGGAGGCACAACATGCACACTTCATCAAATAGAGTGCCATGGCTTGGCAGCTTAATAGTCGCGAGGATGTCTGTTATCATTGACAGCCAACAGCAGTCCCAATCTACACTTCATGAGGCATCACTGCCCAGCTTGCTGTCCGACAACCATGCCCAAGTAACTGCAGCTAGTTGGCGTGGAGTTTGGAAGTCAAAGGACGCCTGCTCCTTTGAATGGAACTTCGTGCCTTGAGACGGCCATGGCCGCGGGGCGCTGGCTTGGAGGCGAGCAATGTCGAAGTGTTAGATGGTCGACGTTTGGCGATTTTGCTGGCGTGTGCAGTGCGTGTGTAGTGTGTAGCGGTCGTGTAGTGTGTGTGTGTGTGTAATGCGTGTATGTGTGTAGTGTGTGTGTGTATAGTGTGTCTGTGTGTGTGTGGGAAGGTGTAGTGTGTGTGTGTAGTGTGTAGTGCGTGTGTGTGGGAAGTGTGTGGGAAATGTGTAGTGTGTGTGTGTGTAGTATGTCTGTGTGTGTGGGAAGTGTGAGTAGAGTGTGTATGTGTGTGTGTGGGAAGTGTGTGGGAAGCGTGTAGTGTGTGTAGTATGTCTGTGTGTGTGGGAAGTGTGTGTAGAGTGTGTATGTGTGTGTGGGAAGTGTGGGAAATGTTTAGTGTTTGTGTGTATAGTGTGTGTGCGTGTGCGGGAAGTTTGTAGTGTGTGTGTAGTGTGTGTCTGTGTGAGTAGTGTGTGTTTGTAGTGTGTAGTGTGTAGTGCGAGTGTGTGTGTGCGAGTGTGTGTGTGTTTGGGTAGTGTGTAGGGTGTTTGATAGCGTGTGTTGCGTGTAGTGTGTGTGCAGTGTGTGTGTGGGGGAAGTTAGTGTGCGTGTGTAATGTGTGTAATGTATGTAATGTGTGTTTGTATGTAATGTGTGTATGTGCGTAATGTGTGTATGTGTGTGTGGGAAGCGTGGGAAGTGTGTAGTGTGTGTGTGTGTGCGCGTATGTGTGTGGGAAGCGTGTGCGTGTTTGTGTGTAGTGTGTGTAATGTGTGTATGCGTGTGTTGTGTGAAGTGGTGTTTGTAGGGTGCCTGTGTGGGAAGTGTGTGTGTGTAATGTGTGTATGTGTGTTAGTGTGTGTGTGAGGAGTGTTTACCGTGTGTGTAGTGTGTAGTGTGCGTGTAGTGTGTGTGTGTGTGGGAAATACAGGAAGAAATATGCAATGTCTGTATATATGTAATGCGCGTGTGCGTGTGTGGGAAGTGTGGGAAGTGTGTAGTGTATGTGTAACGTGTGTGTGTGTTTGGGAAGCGTGCAGAGCGTGTGTGTGGCGTGCAGCGTGTGTGTGCAGTGCGTGTGTGTGGCAAGTGTGTGTGTAATGCGTGTAACGTGTGTGTGTAATGTGTGTACGCGTGTAGCGTGTGTGTGTGTGTGTAGTGTGCAGTGTGTGTGAGTTGTGTGTGTGTGTGTCTGTGATGAGTGTGTAGTGTGTGTAAGTGTGTAGTGTGTAGTGTGCGTGTAGTGTGTAGTGTGCGTGTAGTGTGTGTGTGTGTGTGTATGTGTGTGAGAAGTGTGTAGTGTGTGTGCAGTGTGTAGTGTGTGCGTGTGTGTGTGTGGGATGTGTGTGTGTGTAGTGTGTGTGTGTGTCTAGCGTGTGTGTAGTGTGTAGGGTGTGTGTGGGACATGTGTGTGGGAAGTGTGAGTGTGTGTGTGTATGTGTGTGTGTCGGAAGCGTGTGTGTATGTGTGCAGTGTGTGTAATATGTGTATGTGTGTGGTGTGTCAAGTGGTGTGTGTGTAGTGTGTGTGTGGGGGAAGTCTGTGTGGGTAGTGTGTGTGTGTAGTGTGTGTGTGTGGTGTGTGTGTAGTGTGAATGTGTAGTGTGTAGCGTGTGCGTAGTGTGTGCTGTGTGTGTTGTGTGTGTGTGTAGTTTGTGTGTTTGTGTAGCGCGCGCGCGTGTAGGGTGTGTGTGTGTCTGTGTCTGTTTGTTTGTGTGTCTTTGTCTGTGTCTGTGTTTGTCTCTGTGTCATGTGTCATGTATCTGTGTCTGTGCGTGTGCCTCTGTGCATGCGTGCGTGCGTGGGTGTGGGTGTGGGTTTTGGCGTGGGTGTGGGTGTGTGTTTGTGTGGTTGTGTGTTTGTGTGTTTGTGTGTTTGTGTGTTTGTGTGTTTGTGTGTGTTTGTGTGTGTTTGTGTGTGTTTGTGTGTGTTTGTGTGTGTTTGTGTGTGTGTGTTTGTGTGTGTTTGTGTGTCTATGTGTTTGTGTGTCTGTGTGTGTGTGTCTTTGTTTGTTTCTGTGTCTGTGTCTGTGTGTGGGTGCGTGTGAATGCGTTCGTGTGATGCGCGTGTTTGGGCCAGTGTGTGCTAGTGTTCTTTCTTTTGTTGCCTGTCTCTGTTGATTGATGTATGCAGTTGCTTGTGGTTGTTTTCTGTACTTCGTGATGTTGCCGTTGATTTAGTCGTCGCACCCACAGGGTGTTTTTGACAATGGAAGTTGTTGGAGTGACGCGGCTATTTGTTGTGGTTGTGAACGCTGCGCGTTGCCCGCCTCGGCCAAGCCGAGCGCGCAGCGTCTGTGGTTCGACTGCAAGCAGCAGAGCTGGTCAAGTGGCGATTCAGGCATGGACAGGTTCTGGCCTCGTCATGTCGTGGGCCCGCAGGAATCCTCGAGGCGAGGGCAAGGCGGGCCTGGGCTGGGCGGGCTGGGATGCGCCTTGCTTGGGTGTGCTGGTTGGGCTGCGCCTGAGGCGAGTCTTAGACACTGTCTCAGACATGTGGGTTGCTTGGTGGGTTGCTGGTGGGGCTGGGCGAGGCAGTCGGACTGCAGTGCTGGGGCTTGGACTAGGCGGGCTGGGTCTCACCATTCTCAGCCAAAAGCGGGCCCACGAGGAACCCCGACGAACCCTGCAAATTTCAAGGCCACCGGACAAGATCTTAGGGCCAGCAGACATGGGTCGGTGGAGGGCCGCAGAAATTTTGACAAGATCTGTGCGCCCTTGGGCCCCCTTAGGGTCGAGGCGAATCTTTGGTTTCAGAAAGCCTTCATACAAGATTGACTGCGCCTCAGATGCCAATAGCCTTTCACGGTGCCTGCTGTTTGGCTCCTGGGCCCTCTGTGGGTCAATGCCGCCCGCCAGGCCTGAGGAGATGCCTTGCAGGGAGCCCCAGGGAGATCTCGGCAAACATGGAAGCCACGTTCGACTCACGCGTGCACTCAGGGGAGCTGGTTGGAAACTGTTTGTTGGCCCAAAGGGCTTTTGCCAAGAGCAGATGCAAGGACCGCGGAGTCGATGAAAACAACCAAATCTGGGCACTAGAGTTCAGTTCTTTGCTGGTTTCTGGCGGACATCCTTCATCCTGATTGCCATACATGCAACGCATAGGTATGGGTAGGCTCCCATTGTTCGACCCCCAGGTGTCCAGGCGTTTTCAGAGGCAAACCTCGCGAAAGGTGGGCCACTGGCGGGAACTGTGCGGGCTCCAAGCTGTGACAAGGGCGGGCAGAAGAATTGTGGCTGATTCACTCACCGTTGCCAGGCCCACAAGCAGCGGGTGTTGCCCAAGATTGGAGGCCCTGTTTGCTGTTGGCTCCTGCTTTTCTTTGGGGCTCCCCCAAGGGATGTCCAGCAAAGAGAAGCTCCTTGAGGAGAAACCGTAATGTATGTTTGTTTTCAAGATCGTTGCTTTCACAAGCAATAACATGTGGTTTCAATGGGCCAGGATGCTTGTGACAATGCTCAGATGCAGGTGGTTTTGTCCCTGCAGCTGTAGTTGGCGTGGACCAACCTACCATCACGATTAATTTTGAAGTTTCGAAGTATCTAAGAGAACCACCAAACGCGAGTGAAGAACTCCAGCATCAGCATGTGACACCTTGTAGTGTACGTGATTTTTTTCTGCTCTGCACACTGGCTCATGAGCCAACACACAAATGTACACTGCAGCTGATACAGGAATTGTGCCAGCGACATGAGGTTCTAGCTCATGCATACATGCCGGAAACTGCCCTCCTCGTGCCACCTCAGCCACTGCTTTTGTACATTGCAGGGTGTTTGGTGCTTCCCAATTGGTTGGTTGCTGATTGAACTACAGCAATTAACTCCCTTTCCACATGTGTTGCCACTTTATGCTCTGAATACAACTCTGGAATCGAAAAACAAAAAAAGAAAAAGGTAGTCCCTCTTTTCGAGTTCTTAAGCCGACATGAAAGCAGTGTGTAGTCCAGTATCGTATTGCACCGAGGACCCGCATTTCTTGCCAAAGTGCTTAGTGTGGAACAATTTGGTGGCCAAATTCAGCTGGGTTCCTTCGTGTAAGTGTTTCTTTGTTCAGCTTCCTTGCTTTTGTTGTCTCCCGTTGTGATCAGCTGACATAGAAGGCGCATGATTGAAATGCTTTCAGTCCTCCACTGGAGGATGTTAAGGCTCACAGTCTTCTTGATTGGACGTCCAATTCCCGTCGGATGTACCCAGGCATATTGCTCATACACAACATATTATTCAGGAGTAGTTCACAGTCAGACTTAGTCAAAGTGCCAGTCAGGTCAACGAAGCTGCCTTTGTCAGATTTGCGGAGCCAGCTTTGGCTTTGGCGCTTCAGGCCCTTTGGTCTCCAGCGCAGTCGGTCGGGGCAAACGATTGAAAGAATTTCATATCGAACACTACTCATGTCCACTCATGGTGGAGAGTGCTCCAGGCCTGGCTTGACAGGCGCGGATCACTGGATGAGAGCGGGGTTGGGAGAGGACGGGGATCTACAGGCAACTGTGGGAAGCCTCGTCAAGAACCTTTCAACTTGGCAGGCACTGTTCCCATACTCTTGGGCTGAACATATTTATCAGGATACTTGAGTTGGAAAAGGATGGTCTCAGGAGCTATCCAAGGACTTCCCAAGACTGCCGCTGGCGAATAACAAGGTCCCTTGGCGCTTTGCTCAGGACCAGTTCCAACTGTTAATTTCTAAATCAGTTGCGTTTGATGGTGCCTGGATATTGGGTGCCGCGCCACTGGCCGGCAACCGGGCTGCTCAAGACCAGAGAGTGCTTGTGGATCATGACTCCAAATGGCCTGACTAAAGTATAGGCTTTTGGGGGGGTAGTTGCAGAACAAGTGACAGCTTTCCTTTTGCCACGCCAACAGCATGTCCTGTGCGACTGGTGCTCTCAAGTGTTGCCCCTCGGTTGAGACCTGTCCAGGTCCACTGATGTCCAGCCAATTAACATGCGCAATCCATTTTGTAAAAGTGAGTTCTTCGAAGGCGTTGATCAGCCTGAGCGTCAGTTGAACATGATACTGCCGGCACAAGGTCTTGCCAAGCCCAAGCCATCCGTCTGTGCAGGTGCACGGTCGCGCTTTGTGCGGACGGGCAGGCGTGGATGGAGGGCAAGGGAGGTGGTACTGCTGACGTTCTGAAGTGAAAAGAAGTGTTGCTGATTCATGTCTTGTGGGCAGTAGAGAGATACGCGCACTTTTCCTAATTACGTATGTTCGTTGTGGTTTGCTTTGATGATTGTGGAACTCTGCGCTGAGGCCTACGCACGTGCCCACATACTGTGGGTTTGTTGGATGATTCTTGGTGAGCGACATTGCTATTTCTGGACTCAGCATTAATTTGGACAGGGCCCAAACTGCCAAGTCCGGAGGGCAAAGTTCGTACAGAGGGGCAAACTGCGGCGCTGCTCTTTCTTTGCCCAAAACCTTCCCACTACTGGCATTTTTGTTTGCTCTCCAAGCCAAGCCGGTCATCTCTTGGCATTTGGCTCAGGATCCTCCATCATAGTCAAGGGTTCACGAGTGTGGCCCGATGTGCGTGGGAAGTTGGGCACATGAGAGCTATGCGAGGGTGTCCAGTTGACCTGTGCGAAAGTGAAATTGGTGCGGACCGTGGGTACTTATCCAGCACTCAAGATCCCTCGCCAGACACTTAGACAGGACAGTGGGATCATCGGGCCCCGTCAGGTATTTTATTTTCTCGAGCTCCATATGCCAGTTTCTAAAGACTCAGCGATGGATGCATTTGCTGCCTCTCCGTGATGCGACTCATTCCTCTGGTGCTGCTGGGCTTGGCGCTGAAGGGGTGCGAGAACGGCTGCGACCACTCCGCCCCTCTCACTGCGTTTTTGCATGCTCCAACACAACTGAGCCGTCTACAAAATAGGAAAGCGGAGGTTTCATGTTTGCTTGTAGGCTATGCACATGATGCAGCTTTGAAGGGCACCATGCAAGTGCAAAGCGGACACCCCAGCCAAGGAAAGGTGACAAGATGTCTCTTGAAGACCTCACATGTGTTTTAAGATGGCAATATTTCTTTGGAATCCAAAGTGCATTGATTGTGATTGCAAGTTGACCTTGAACTGTTAACATGTGATACATGTATCATTTGCCGGGATTTTATGTTCAGTGTGGTTTGCCCCTCTCATGTTTGGCTCCCTTTCCACATCAAAGAAGCTGCTTAGCTTCACCCCATGTCTTCAGTCCTTCTGGAGGGGGGCGACAATTGGATCTCAGGCATTGCCAAAAGGCAAGCAGCTCGCTGCACGAATTTTAAGCTGGGTTTCAGGTCATGTTGGGCATGGTTCAATGGTTTGCAGTCTCACTCAAGCTCCTTGTTTCAGCTTTGTTTGATACTGGGAGCGGTGCAGCTTCTTGTAACCATCTCAATGGGACGTATCGTGTTTTCCCGCATTTTCCTGGGTATGATCTTCACATATCTTTACAAGGATCCCTGTTTCAAGGGACCTGGAACATCCAAGCGCAAAGTCCAGCCCCGATGGCCGTTTAGCAGTGGCACCTCGAGGCCGCCAGCCAGTGCACTCTGGGCCTGGGCGATTGTGCAGACTTGGCTCAATACGGAGGCGGGCAATCGGCAAGACGGCAAGACCCTCTGGAGGAATTGTGCAGTTTGGGGGTTTAAATCATGGCATGGTTGCAACTGGAGCTTTGCAACGGTGAGGCTACGAATTGTGTTGTTTGGCTGTTCATTGGAGTTCAGAGAGGCATTCCGTGAACAGAGTTCTGGGAGCGAGCACCCGTGAACATAAGGGGGTCACCTATATGTTGCGCTTGTGTCCATAGAACAAGTACAGTAGGTCAAACTTTGGGACAGGGAAATCAGGACGACTTGAGGATTGTTGGGCTCATCAATGACACGTTGGGAATTGTAGCTGGCTTGGATGGGGCATTTTGCTAAGCTAATGAAAGTCTGACAGAAACAATCCCTGCCCTCACAACAGGTCCGAAAACTGCTATACCCATGGGAGGTGTGTGTTTGTCTTGCCACTGTATGGAGGTCCTGGCCGCTTGCACTGAGGCGCCTAGTTGTTCGTTTTTTTCCAGATGGCAGCTGTTGTTTTTTCTTCTCACTACGGTATTCCTTGCTGCCCCTGAGAAACGTGCTCGGAATCCGGTCCGCGCGTTTCCTGTGTAGTTTCACACCACAGGCATACCAGCCGGTCTATCACGGAAAACGTGTTCGCTTTGAATTTGGACCTGGGTCAGCATTTGCCCTAGTATCAGGCAGATATTGAGTGACCAAGCATTTTGTGCAGAGAAAGCTACCGAGGCCACTGACATCAATGTCTGACTTGACCTGTCAAGCAGAACATGAACGCCAAGCAATAGATCTAAAGGGACCAACGGGACACATAAGTGCAATGGAGAGTTCTCAACCTAGCTGGCATTTGTTGGCTGGAAGCACACGAATAGAGTTGGCGAATAGAGTAGGTCAGCTTTGTGTGAATTTCCCTGGATTGACACATCCCCTTCAGCGAGGCTGCATCAAGACAGCAAACTGCTGCGACTCCTCAGACAAGTCCGCTGAAGCGTCTGGTATGACAAGTTGGAGGACAGCGCTAGGGCAGGTACAGCAGAGCAGGTTCTACAGATTGAAGCCTTGACCGTTGCAAACTAAAGTGCAACATGAGAAATTGGCTTTGACTAACAGAGGCATCCGAATGGTCATTCACAGCGGAATGAGGAAGTTTGACAAGCATGAAAGGTCCCCGTTGAGACCTCACATGAACAGCTTTCAACGTGGCGTCAGTCGCCAAATAAACGAAGAACAACTTGCGTTGCCCAGATCTAAAGCTGTTTCGGGCACAATGCCATGCAGCACATGATTTAATCAGTTTTTGTTTTCTCCAGGATATTGCAATATGATGTGCCGCGTGCGATTTGCTACAGGAAGCGGCTGAATGAGCTCTTCGACGCGAGCGAGCTAGCAGGCAACAATTGCGAAGCCAGCCCCTGTGTGACCGGCTAGAACGGCGAATTCCGAGAACTCCAGCTGTCTCCGCCTGCGTCTTCTGCTCTTCTTCTTGCGTTCCGCTGGGTCGAACCGACGGATGCAATTGGCACCAAGGATCTGCTGGAGGTGTCGTCGCGTTGGAGGCTGACTGACGGGAGGCATCAAACCTCTGTTTTTTGCGACCAGAGGATCTTCAAGTGCTTGGACATTGGCGATTAGCAAGATCGCAAAGTCGGTCAGTGCATCGACCTAATTAAAAATGATTGATAATATGATCCACTGCAGCATGGTTGGAACACGCAAACAAAGGCCACGTGCTATGCCGACAAATCCAGTGCTTATTGGGATTATTTGTGGATGGCGACTGTTCTAACTTTCAATGGCTCAAGTCAGTGGAATATGGTTGTCATGAATTTGATGTTGCAACAGACTGGAGAGGCGATAGAGGTGAGGTCGTTCCACGCTTAGCTCCACGTTGCGGAACAAAAAGGAAAACAAAAAACCTGTATGCGAGCGGCAAGCTTGTGCTGCATCATGAGGCCGCGCTCAGAAAGAGAGGGCGTTGAGCCTTGAGACTGCTCAGTAGACTCACGGGGGGGGGGGCTCTCTTTCCCTTTTTGGGATTTTGGGTGCTTCTCCTAATTTATCATAATTCAGGTTTTCCAGCAACGATGGCTTGCAATTCCTTACCCGATTTGTGCTTTGGTGTTACCCTAGTCCCAGAGGTGTATGAACACCGCGTTGAGCATCTACCGGTGCAGCTGCAATGGCCGCCATGTGGGATGCAGCAGTTGTGTTATTTGGCTCCGGGATCGACTGGCGGACAGTTTCCGCGGACTTTTTGTCAGCTTCCACGTAGCTGTGGGTTGGAGGGTGTAAGGGTACGTGGCTCAAATCCGGTCCCAATACGTGGAGCTTTGTGAAAGGGAGCTGTTCTGTCCATGACTGCAACCTTGAGGGCTTTTGCGGTTGACCATCAGGCTTCCGCCTTTTCATTTTCCGTGCCTTGAATGAAAAGGTATGTCATTTGATGGTGTGTCTTGAAGGTACCAAACAAGCCATGGAACACGGGCGCCTGCCAGGCCGCGGGACCGCATGCACGGTCCCTCGGACGCGGTGGCGGGTGGCCTGGGGCGCCTGGCGCCGCCTGTGGCTGAGGGTCGCCCCGTGCAGGAGGAGAGTCCTGAGGCGGGAAATGCGAAGAACGCGAAGAAATGCGAAGAAGCCGAGGACGTGTTTGAAAGTTTGTGGCTTTATGCTTGAAGTGCTGGGGGTGGTTTTGGTTGGGATGGGTTTCCGTTTTCGGGCTGTTCCGGAAGTCATGTTTTCCGTGGCTCGAGTGAAAGGCTCCGGTCAGGATTTGGAGGAGCCCAGCGAGGTGGGGTCTCTGCTGGCAGTGGCCCCGACGCTCCACAAGTTCGCGGGCCTGGAGCCGCTGCCAGCTGACGCCCTGGACCAGGAGGATGTCGATGCCCTTTGCGCAGTTTTTATCTTCCTCTTCTTGTTGGCCCTTGGCCTTGGTATTTGGGATGTTTGAGACGACAAGACATGGATTGGAGCGGGCCGCGTGGGCAATCCTTGTGGCCCCTCACTAGTTCAGGATCCCTGTGTGCGTCCGAAGGTTATATTGCACTTTTTGGAGGATCTGAATCAGGCGGACGGTGCTTTGTGCTGGGACGCGCTTGGATGACCGAGTGCACTCTTGGAGCCTATGTGAGCAGACCACGTGCTTCTCGCAATGCCCAAGTTAGTCCAGTAGCATCGGACAGAATGGTCACCATGGTTGCTTTCAAAGAGGGATGAGGCCGAGAATCGCCCAGCTTTGTATTACGAGATCTTGTGCCAGGACTCCGACCCGCCCTCATTGTCCATCAAGGCCGGGCAAGGCAAACACAGTATGTGCTTGAACAATCTGTATGAGGAATTCCTCATGGCAGTCAGGAAGTTCAAAGCCAGGTATTGAGCAGTCCAATTGCTAGCCGTTTATGCACCCAGTGGGCTCAATCGATTAGAGTTGAAGAACTAGACATTTGCTTGGCTTTGGAGACCAAGGGTATGCTTTTGGTGTAGGGTTAAATTAGATTTCTGAAGGTGTGAAAGCTGAATCCATGGCTCCCAACTGCCGTGAGGACGTCCGCAAGTTGTCGCCCCCCCCGCGGCGCTACGTGCGGGCGCCCCCCACGCTGCTCCAGCGGCTCGCAGAGGTCGACAAGCTAGAGGGAAAGGCGCGCCCGTTCTTCCCGATGCTGCGAACTCCAAAGAAGTCATGCAAGACTTAGCCTAAGTGTAGAGCAGTGTGGCGTTTGACAGCATACAAGTATGAAAAGAGTTAGCTATATAGCCCTTTCTTCATAGCGTGCCTGCTGGAAGAGAATGGTTTCACTGTCCACTTTCCCACGCACACACACACACACAACACAGAGATGAGAAGCACCAGCAAGTATTTTTAAGTACATAATTCATACCAGGAGATACATGAATGGGTCTTCATGTCGGTTGGAACTGACGCATTAAGCGTGTGAGTTTCTTGTCATGGCTAGTATGTAGCAATAAATAGACACACATAATAAATATGAAGGGTTTTCTGGTTTTCTGGGATCGTGGCCATTTTGTGCGTTTTCCAGGCAAATACCAGTGTTTTAGCTAAACGTTGTTTTTTCTTTTTGGGGGGGGGGGTACAATATATATATATATATATGGTAACCCCCCCCCCCAAAAAAAAAAGAAACAGGTGCAGAATTCACTGGTAGTTCCAGTGAATTTAGCCTTTTTTGGGGGTCTGAAAAAGACGTCAAAAAAGGGCAGTTCCGCAATTACTCTGGACGTTTCATGCTCTGGCAAACTCTCAAAAAAAAGGGAAATATCGGAAAACCAGACTCTCTGAGGGAAAGGTAGCTGGAAACCGAAAAAAAAACGGGGGGAAAGCATACTCCCTGAGGGAAAGGTAGCTGACAGACATTCTCCCACAGGAGTATGGTTTTTCGGTCTTTTTCGGTTTTTCCGGTTTTTTCGGGTTTTTTCGGTTTTCCTGCTTGTCTGATCTAGCAAAACCACATCTGCCAAGTAGGCTTCTTCAGGTCTCAAGCTCAATCTGTTTGACTTCCTGTTTGTTTTATGATATTATTTCATTCACTGGTGTAAACTTGTAAGGCTTAGGAATCTAGGAAATCCTGCAGTGGATCTAGGATTACATGACACATATTATGTTGTAGCACATGTTCATTGTGTTCTTTCTTTAGGAGCCTTAATTGCTATCTTCTCGAATTATCTTCAATGGAGAATAGACTGCTGGCACTAAGAACTGATTACTTTCATCCTTATGTACACACGCACGCTCTCTCTCTCTCTCTCTCTCCCTCTCTCTTTATCATTGCAATTTAATATTCATGGCTATTATTCTTGCCTTTTCTCCAATGCATCTCCTGGAAGTAATGTTATGCCAAGAAGAATCCCATCCTTTCCAGATTCTGTTCATTCCCCCCACAGATCAAAAAGGTGTTGTTTTTTGTTTTTTGTTTTTTTGAGGGGGGGCATATATATATATATATAGACATATCTACCCCCCTCTGAAAACCTACCAAAAAACATCGAGGTTCACGATGCCCTAGAAATCTTTCTTCAGACTCTTGAATCTTGAGAGGAGTGACTAAAAGCCACGTTGAGGTAAATGGGATTCAATAGTCCCCAATTCCCCAGGCATCTTTTTTCTGCATCTTGAATCTTGAATCTTATCCACTTGCAGCAAGCGATTGGCAGCTCCGGCTCAAACAGACACAACGTTTCAGCACAAGAGCAGTACGCAAAGTGCACTTTGGCAGCTTCCTACCTGGAACAGCTGTGTGATTGTGGTTTTACTCTTACCAGTTCGCAGGAAAAAGCAGCAAACTCTTCAATTTTTGGGGAGATCTCCATGTGAATTGCTAATTGAGACTGAATCAGCTATGAAAATGCTTCATGTCCTTCTGCAGATCCATTTGCATTCTAATTCAACTCTGCAAAAACAAGGATGCAGATCCTCTCGAGTTTATGTTTTGTATCAGTATCTAGTTTGATTTTCTGAAATGCAGTCAATAACATTTGTTGAACATCAGATATGAGAAGACTACCCAATCAAAATGCCGTTTCAAGTTCAAGCCAAATTCGGCTTTGAGCAACTGCACTTGCATTCAATTAGCTATTGTTGACGTTGCCAGTTGAAACTAAGACCAACTTCAGTTTCAAAACGCAAGTTGCCCTTATCTAAGTCCGTGGATGTTTAACTAATCAAGCACGAACCAAGCCAGGCAAATCAGAAAGCATTTCAATTAACATGGATCTGTTCCTTCGCTGCAGTAAAATGCGGTATTTTCAGCATGTGTCAGATCATCATTCCTCCTCGCAAAAGAAACGTCAAGCTGCTCAGTGCATGTCATTTTTCCCCTCACTAATGAGGATCAAGCTGGGCACCTACATCGAACATGAAGGGCCTGTGAAAATGCACAAAGTTTCTGGAAACACTGAAGCATTTTTTCGGCTGGGCACAAGATCCGAAAGCGCATAGAACAATTATTGGGAATCTTGATTTCAAGCCACCCCCAAAGAAGTGTTTGAACAAAGTCACACAAGTTGCGCAACATGTCCGAGGCTCTCAGCTTGGTTCGCAAAACGTTGCGCAACATTTGGGAAATGCTGAGCGACATGTCCACGCGACCAACAAACGAGAACACAGACACTTTTCAGCCGTGGTGGGGGTAGGATTGGTTCTGTGGTTTCATGCTTTGTGTTTTTCCCCACAGCTGAAAGCTTTGGGGTCTCAGCCCGGATAGGCTTCGGGGTGGTCCGGGGCGGCCCTGAGGTAAGGTTCCACGAGGGTTCCACCAGGGTTCCACGAGGGTTCCACCAGGGTTCCACGAGGGCTCCACCAGGGTTCCGCGAGGGCTCCACCAGGGTTCCACGAGGGCTGCGGGGTGGTGCGAGCACCAAAGAGCACCGCATGCTGTTGGGGATATCACCTGAGCTTATTATTATTTTTTCGGTTGCTTTTCCAAATGTTGGCCAACATGTTTATTCAAATGCTGCGCAACATGTCCACTGTTCCACTCTCATACTTTGCTGTTGCCAGCTGTGTTTTCTTTAACAACCAGACCACGGTTGGCCCGAAAGCAGAACATCGCAAGCGAGGTCGGCCCAACGCTGCAGGATGCGTTCTTTTTCCCTACACGAAGCATTCGTGAAGCAAGCGCGAGACAGCACCAGGCAAGGTGCTCTGCGCAAACTGGTCGGTGCAAGTTGGTCTGCGCAAGTTGCTCTACGCAAGTTGCACTGTGCAAGTTGCTCTGCGCAAGTTGCTCCGCGCAAGTTGCTCCGGCAAGTTGGTCCCTGCAAGTGGCTCCCTGCAAGTTGCTCTGTGCAAATTGCGCTCCCTGCAAGTTGCTCTGTGCAAGCTGCTCTGTGCAAGTTGCTCTGTGCAAGTTGCTCTGCGTAAGTTGCTCTGCGCAAGTTGCTCTAGGCAAGGCGCTCTGCGCAAACTGGTCGGTGCAAGTTGGTCTGCGCAAGTTGCTCTGTGCAACTTGCTCTGCGCAAGTTGCTCTGCGCAAGTTGCTTTAAAATGCAAGTTGCATCTTGCGACGCCCGCCCGCGGACCAGGGAGGAATCGAACCCGCGACCCGCCGGTTCCGGGAGCAGGCGCGCGAACCACGAGACAACTCCCGAGGACCAGTTCGAACAACAAAAGTCGCAAAAAACCTCGAGTTTTTGCACCTCCACCACGCCGATTCCCGCAGAGGGTTGCGCGAGCACCGCAGAAATCGCAAAAAACCATGGGTTTTTGCACCTCGACCACGCCGATCCCCGCAGAGGGTCGCGCGAGCAGGTTAAAATCGCAAAAAACCATGGGTTTTTGCACCTCGACCACGCCGATCCCCGCAGAGGGTCGCGCGAGCGCAGAAATCGCAAAAAAAACCACATCGCAAAAAATCGCACCATGGGTTTTTGCACTTCGACCACGCCGATCCCCGCAGAGGGTCGCGCGAGCAGGTTAAACATCGCAAAAAACCTCGAGTTTTTGCACCTCGACCACGCCGATCCCCGCAGAGGGTCGCGCGAGCACCGCAGAAATCGCAAAAAACCATGGGTTTTCGCAAGAATCCATGGGTTTTTGCACCTCGACCACGCCGATCCCCGCAGAGGGTCGCGCGAGCAGGTTAGAAATCGCAAAAAACCATGGGTTTTTGCACCTCGACCACGCCGATCCCCGCAGAGGGTCGATTTTCGTGTAGTGTCGTCGGCACTACCCCGCCGCCCTAAGAAGAGATTTTAACTCCTCGCAAGTCAATTGCACTTGACTCCTTGCACTTGCAACTTGCACTTGACTCCTTGCTTGTTTCAAGGAGTCATTGCAAGGAGTCATTGCAAGGAGTCATTGCAAGGAGTCATTGCAAGGAGTCATGGCAAGGAGTCATTGCAAGGAGTCATTGCAAGGAGTCATTGCAAGGAGTCATTGCAAGGAGTCATTGCAAGGAGTCATTGCAAGGAGTCATTGCAAGGAGTCATTGCAAGGAGTCATGAGAGCCATTGCAAGTTGCAAGGAGCCAAGTGCATGGAGTCAAGTGCAAGTCGCAAGTGCACGGAGTTAAGTGCAAGTTGCAAGTGCAAGGGGCCAAGTGCAAGGAGCCAAGTGCAAGGAGCCAAGTGCATGGAGTCAAGTGCAAGTTGCAAGTGCATGGAGTCAAGTGCAAGTTGCAAGTGCAAGGAGTCAAGTGCAAGTTGCAATCCTTGCCATGACTCCTTGCAATGACTCCTTGCAATGTTTAATGACTCCTTGCAATGACTCCTTGCAATGACTCCTTGCAATGACTCTTGCAATGACTCCTTGCAATGACTCCTTGCCATGACTCCTTGCAATGACTCCTTGCAATGACTCCTTGCAATGACTCCTTGCAATGACTCCTTGCAATGACTCCTTGCCATGAAACCTTGCCATGACTCCTTGCAATGACTCCTTGCAATGACTCCTTGCAATGACTCCTTGCAATGACTCCTTGCAATGACTCCTTGCAATGACTTTCATGATGATGATTCCTTGCAATGACACCTTGTAATGACTCTCATGAGAACAACTCAAGTGAACCCAGCGGAAGAACCCTTCGCCATGCTTTCGGGAATATGGGGTTGAAGTTTGTTTATTTCTTAAAAAAAAGAAGAAGAGCAAATCTGGCAACAGCAAGACATGACATTCGCATTGGGTCAATCTATGTGCAAATATGGCTTGCCCAGACGGGTTCTTATAGGCCTGTGATGTCCATATCCATATGGCTATCATTTAAGCTACTGTAGTTCTCCCGCTTCCCCAGATCCAGATTTGCTAGTTTTAGCTGTTTTAGCTATTTCCCCAGACTGCTGAAAGCTATAGGGGTTCTAGCTTCGAACAACGAGGGGAAAGTTATTTGCGAGATTGACGGCTGGGTGCTAGGGGGCGTGCAGTTGGGGTGGTGCAGCTGTTGTTAGGGTGTGCTGTTTGGAAGCCCCTCGATCAAATCCTGCCCCGTTTCAACCTCATAGCCGGTGCCAAACTTCAAGCACCTTTGCTGCCCACACAAATGGAGCAAACAAAAACACTTAAGGCTTTCTTCTTTCAATTCCACACCAGAAAGCCTCTCAATTCTACACAGAAGCGTCCCTAAATTTGATATGATGTGGCCAACAAGCAGTGTGCAATCCTCGACCTGTTTTATACTATCTGGGTCCATGCTGGTGTATCCTTATTGTGGGATAGGGGTCCATATACTTGTACTTGTATATATGCGTATATTGCAGATATATGTAGCAAAGCCTCTGCGGACATTCGTTGCACACCCCGCCACACACCCTTTGCAACAAGACCGCGCGGTTCTTACAGACCCCTCATTACATACCCCGTTGTACACCTTGCGCGACAAAACCGTCGGCCTGGTTGCATGTCCCCTTGTTGCAGACCCTGACGTATACCCAGACAGTGGGTGCCGCTTCCTGTGCAACACTTCGTTGCAAACCTCGCTGCAGACCTCGCTATAACGTTTTCGGAGCAGTTGCCGCCGGGAGGGAGGTGCGCCTTGGAGGGTCCAGCGACCCCTTTTGCACAGATACCTGAGTCATATTGCGATGAATAGTTGCGACTTTTGAGCTGCGGTGGAGGTTCGCTTCGCGCGCACTTTCGAGCTGGAGCTGCAGAAGTGTACATACCTCCACAACAGGATTGGTGCCGCGTCGCAAGTTACATGCCCTCAAAAAAGGCATACACACACACACACGCAAAGTATACGTATGTGGTTCCCCGTTTCGGGTATAAAGAGTCAAGAGCCTGGTTTCCTCCGCAGCTGCTTGGCTTTTAGCTTGGGCTCTCCTTGGATGGGAGAGCCTTGCCCTCGGTGCCAGGGCTGTGGTGTCTGCCGGGCCCTGGACCGAGTGGGCGGGGAGGATTGGTATTTGTTGAGGGAGTTTCTGGGTGAGCTCCAGGACTCCTCCGCCCTCACCCTTTCGGATCTCTGACGGGTTGCGACTCCCGTGACCGCTGGAGGAATCCCGAGCTTCCCCCGGTAGAGAGGGAGGAGCTCGGAAGGGTTCCCCAGGAGGAGGAGTCCTTGGAGGAGGTTTCGGGTGAGGAGTGCCCAGCCGCCAAGGTCGGCGGACGCTGTTGGGAGCGAGGAGGAGCCCGCTCCTGGTTCTGGCGGAGGCCGATCTTGGACGGGGATCAGGACAATCGGAGGAGGGGCCCCTCCCCAAAAAGGGGAAGAATAAGGGGGTCAAAAAGCGTGAGAGGCAGGAGGAGAGGGGCCTCCCTGGAGCAAGAGGGGCATTGGGAGGATGCCCCCCAAGAGAGCGGTGCCTAAGAGGGTTCCTCGTCACGGGATTCTCCGACGGCCCGCAGCTGTGAAAGAGGCCCCAAAGCCGAAACCCCTTCCTGCGCATACCCTATATTCAAATGTTGGCGTGATCATTATTGGGGCTGGTCAGGGAGTATCAGGTTTGAATGCTGACCGCAAGGGCGCCCTGAGAGATCAACGGAGCTGCCTGTTCCAAGACATCCCCCCAAATTGCTCAACTCTGTCGCGAGATGTTCCCATGGGCTCAAGTGCGGGTTTTGATGGAATCTGTTGCTTCCACAAGCCTAGTCGATAGAGCAATCATGGGAACCGTGCCTTGGCTCAGGATGTCCCTGGCGCACCGCCCCAGAGTCTATTGGATTGACTGGGAGCTGAAAGAGCAACCTTCAGCCCGCAGTCAGCCTCCTGATGGGGTGGGGTGGCAGGCAGCAGGGCGGGTAGATTTTGAGACCGCTGTTGAGGCAAGGTCCGTCCTGAAACCGGGCTGGGCAGCTCCTACCAAAGGGAGACTGCCGACATTTACCACGTCTAGGCCCTTGCCCAAGCCGGGCAGGCCTCCTGCGGGTCTTGAGGCCTACCAGATGACCTGCAGCGGTGGCGAGAGGACTCCCAGCGTTTCCCCCCTTTACCAGTAGGGAATTGCTTGAGGAACAAGAAGGGTCACCTTCGCATAGCGGACACGGAGGAGCGTGAGGCCATCATGGGTTTCCCAGTAGGATACACCCAATCAGAACACGGCTCCGTTGCCTTCAATGACCAGCGTCTCACTGTTATAGGTAACAGCTGGAATGTTGGTGTTGTGATTTGGTTGCAACCCTTGTGCGGCGGCTACTCGGGTTGGTGTCTGTCAAAGGGGAAGACCTGCTCTTGCAGAGCCAGACTGAAACCAGCGTGAAATTTCACCGTTTGAGGGCAAGTGTTCCTGCCAAACTGTGGCGTTGGAGGACTATTACCGGTTGGCAGTGGCAAAGCCATTCTGACCACATCAATGTGTTGGAACTTCGGGCAATTCTAACAACTGTCAAATGGCGCTGCGAAAAGAAAAGCAAGACAAACAAGAGATTCCTTCATTTAACTGACTCCTTGGTCTGTTTGCATGCTCTCTCCCGAGGGAGGTCCTCGAGTAGGAAGCTGCGACGGACGTTGACTCGAATCAACTGCCTGCTGCTAGCGACCAGACAACACCCCGTGTGGGGGTACGTGCATACTGCCCAGAACCCGGCCGACCGCTCGAGTCGCCGGGTCTGCCGCTCTAAATGGGTAAAGTAGCTAAGCATGTTGAAGGTCGCACGCAGCAGGAAAGAGTTCGAGTCAGGAAACAATTGGGGAGTCTGAAGAATCTCACTGTACAGCCGTCAACTCGGAGGCGCTATGACGCGGCTCGGAGGAAGTTCCTTTCCTTATTGAATGCAGAGGGCCTAGAGGTGCCTACGAAGCGCGAGTTCTTGGATGACCTCGTTGCTGATTACCTGGAACACTTGTGGTCCACAGGCGCAGGGCGAGCCCCTGCCTCCGACACGGTGGCTAGTTTGCAAGACTTTGATCCCAAGCTCAAAGGGATGCTGCCTGGGTCTTGGCGGTTGCTCAAGACCTGGAATATTTCAGAAATTCCAAACCGAGCTCCGCCATGCCCGAGGTTGTTTTGCATGCTATGGCTGGCAAGTGTCTCTTTGAAGGAGACCGCCTCATGGCCCTGTCGTTGTTGCTAGGCTTTTACTCCATGCTGCGCACAGGGGAACTCCTTGCAGTTGTCCCCAACCATTTCCATTCATGATAACCAGAAGTCAGCCCTTCTGTCCCTGGGCCTGACCAAGGGCGGTAAGCGCCAGGGTGCCGCTGAAAGCGTCACTATTTCTGTGCTAGAAGTAGTGCGTCGGCTGCAGCAGTGGGCGAGAGCCGACCTCGTCACTCACATCTGTGTCGATCGCCTCACGTTTGGCGCGCTCATTTCTCTCGCCTCCTGAAGGAGCTTCACTTGGAGGCTTTTGGGTTCCGCCCTTACAGCCTCCGTTGGGGAGGTGCAACGTTTTGGTTTCAGCGGCACGGATCTTTTGACCGGCTCTGGCGCAAGGCCGTTGGCAAGCCGCTAAGACGGCTCGAGTCTATTTGAACGAGGGACTAGCCTTGTTGGCTGAGCTTCAGTTAAATCACCGTTTTTTGAACCCGTTTGTCAATGTATACAAACAGGCGTGCCGCAGCAAGCTGCCGGAGCTTGAGCGAGCACAAAGCGCAGTCAAAGGGGGACGTGGAAAGAGAGGGAAAGAGAGGTGCGTGCTGGGGTTTTTTAAGGCGGCCCTCCCCTTTTTTCTGGGGCCCAGGATGGCCATCGTGGCTAGGGAAAGCCTAAATCCTCATGGGGGGTCTCCCTTACGGTTTGGCGATAGGGAGGCAGGGTCGGGCCCCAAAGTGCAGGGAGCACTTTCGGAAACGTTTCCAACTTTTTGGTTTTCTGATAAATTTGGACTTGCCAAGGGCGGAAAAGAAGGCGTGTTGACTCTTTATATATGTATAGATAGCACGTGTATATATATATATGTATGCATATATATATATATGCGTGTTATTCCACTGCTTCTCAGGTCTCCATATCAAGAGGGATCAATTGCTCTCATGGGCAAGCAGCCAATAGGGTCGCGTACAAACTGGCAGGTGTATGGTTCGAGATTGTTTGTTAGTGCTCTACTGATTGAGATGTTTTTGGGTTTCTAATCCCATTTGCAAGGGGTCACTGCGCTTGGGGCGAAGCACGTCGAAGGCATTGGTTGCTGCTCTGGACTGCTGATTTGACCTGTAATGCCATCTTGTTGTGACTGGCCCCGTGCCCCCGAATTAACATTGGTGCTCAGTTTGGCCAAGTTGGGTTTGGCCATGCAAGATTTAGGTCATTGACAACCTATGAGCGGCTTTGTCCGTCACAGCTCAATGTTAAGTAGGGGGCGCGGGGTGGCAAACATGTAGTCTGTAGTCTTCTTAACTCACGCAGGATTTCTTCCATCAACAGCAGTGTGGTCCAAGGATGTGGCGTCTCAGCTGTTCGGAAAGCAGACAAAATTCGAGCCAGGGCCGCGAGCGCCAGAAGAAGCGCCGCGGGCAGTTCGAGTTCAATGACGACGAGCCCATCCGAGTGCCGCGACAGCCAGGGGAACGAGTTCAAGCATTGGTGTTTTTCTCAGCTTGGCCGTGCTAGACGGTCTGGAAATTGTCATCTACTGACACAGGACCCAGCTAGACCTGTGGGTTGGTAGGTTTCCAAGAATGCAACGGCGATGTATTTGAACAACTTGCAATTTGCCTGACATGTTCTTGTTTTTGCGAAGCATTTAGCGCAACAATGCAAAAAGCATATTTTGGCGGGTTATCCTTGCTTTGCAGCAAACAACAGTGGACATATTCCCCGAACATGGATGATTAATTCTACTGTATGTATGATCAATGATCAACATTCGATGTGATGCAGCGCGCACCTGCGACGCTGAGTGTCATGGTTATTTAGAGCCCATGAGCACTGAGAAGTATAGTAAAACTGCGCGCCCGATTGCGGAATGGATATACTGGAAAACACACACAAACACACAAACACACAAACACACAAACACACAAACACACAAACACACAAGCACACAAACACACAAACACACAAACACACAAACACACAAACACACAACCACACAACCACACAACCACAGACAAACACAGACAAACACAGACAAACACAGACAAACACAGACAAACACAGACAAACACAGACAAACACACACACACACACAAACACACACACAACCACACACACAAACACACACACAACCACACACAAACACACACAAACACACACAAACACACACACACAAACACACACAAACACACGCAAACACACACACACAGACACACACACACAGACACACACAGACACACACAGACACACACACAGACACACACAGACACAGACACACACAGACACACACACACACACAAACACAGACAAACACAGACAAACACAGACAAACACAGACAAACACAGACACACACAGAGAAACACAGACAAACACAGACAAACACAGACAAACACACACACAAACACACACACACACAAACACACACACAAACACACACACAAACACACACAAACACACAGAAACACACGCACACAAACACACACACACAAACACACACACACAAACACACACACACAAACACACACACACACACACACAAACACACACACACACACACAAACACACACACACAAACACACACAAACACACACACACAAACACAAACACACACAAACACACACAAACACACACACACACACCCAAACACACACACACAAACACACACACACACAAACACACACACACAAACACACACACACACACAAACGCACACACACACAAACACACACACAAACACTCACAAACACACACAACCACACACAACCACACACAACCACACACAACCACACAAAACCACACAAAACCACAACCACACAAACACACAAACACACAAACACACAAACACACAAACACACAAACACACAAACACACACACACAAACACGCAAACACACAAACACACAATCACACAAACACACAAACACAAACACACAAACACACAAACACACAAACACACAAACACACAAACACACAAACACACACAAGCACACAAGCACACAAGCACACAAGCACACAAGCACACAAGCACACAAACACACAAACACACAAACACACAAACACACAAACACACAAACACAACACACAAACACACAAACACACAAACACACAAACACACAAACACACACACACACAGCTGCCATGTAATTTCCAGCACATGCTGTGCTGTGCTCTTTGCGTCTTTCCTGTTTTGCCCTTTCCGTCACAGGAGTGGCCGGACCCTTTTGCGCGCAAATCTCGACCTTTGCACGCTGGGGTTCGGAGTGCATGCCGCTTTCAGGTGCGGGTGCTGGATGTGGACGCGCTGCCACTGGAAGAGCTGCACAGGGCCTTCATGTACACCTTGGTACGGCGCAGGCCTGCCGAGGCAGGATGGGACAATGGGAGAGGTGAGAGGGTGGGTGTGAGGCCATTGGGCCAGGTGGTTTATTTTCATTTACATCGTGCAGAACGTGGATCTCCAAATCAGCAAGTGTGTTCTCCACCAGGAGGTTGTTTGATAATTGTTGATACACTCTTTGCGCATGTGAGTACTATGTCGACGGGCCAGCATCATTTAGACGCCTTCGAGTGTCTAAGCAGCTCACTGGTAAGTTTGGTAGGCTTCTTCGCCAACCGAACACTTTGAACAATGCCGCACATGTAATCGCACTCCAGGATGTTTGCTTGATAGTAGAGGGAAGCTTGCTTGATTATAGAGGGAAGACCGCACACCGAGCACGGATTGCGTCAAAACGAGCGCGATTGCCAGCGAGCAGTCAGCAGCTAGCAGCACTTGGCCCACCTGACGAACAGTGCTTTCAAGATGTGCGCCTCTGACATTTTCTTAACGCGAATCTGCATGAGCGATCAATTGCTCAAATGAAGAGGCGGCTATATGTGTTCCTGGGAAGACTCACTTAGGCACTACAGAAGGTACGACTCTCCACAATGTGTATTGAACTTGACCCAGGTAGTCAACTCTGCTGTGTGACTTGGGGCCCTCATACGAGCTCAACTCACGAAACTCAGAAGGTTCTTCAATGGTGTTGGTTCGCGCGGAAACATTACTGCTTCCTTCATTTAGGGTCTGGCCATGGCCTTGGTGTTGTCCTTTGGCATGCGCACTCAAGAGCTTGAGGTCTGCGTGCGGGTGGCCTCACGTCTGGCCATGTTCCGGGATAAGCCGGGGCAGCTGGCCTACGAGTTGCCTGGCAGGAAAGGTTCCTTGAAGATTCAGGAAGGCTAGACATTGCTTCCGTCTAAACGAGTGACTTGGCAAAGAGCAAATGCCACCAGCCAGGAGTTTGATCAGAACTCCTTAGAGCAAACAGGGTATACTATATTAATATTAGAGTGCATGGGTGGGGTTTCAAGGCCGCCTCACTGCCGCCCAAGGGGGCGGCCGGGGAAAACCAGCTTGCAGCCACTTTTGCCTCGCCTCCATCCAGAGGCCAGAAGCAAAGCGCTATTTGAGAAAATAAATCCACTCCTTGCCCCCTCTCCCCTTAAGTCCAGGGGGATATGCATGGTCATCAGCCGTTCAGAGCGACAATGAGCAGCACACGCTTCAAGAAAAATGTCATTAGTGCCAGCCATAGCAGTGAACCGCAGCTTTTAGAGGAGAATAACGTTGCACAGCAGCCTCCCAATTGAGGAATATGGTCCGGGACTGCTCCTGGCACTTCGGCGCCACCCACGGGCCGGAGCTGCTGGCGCTCTTCACGCGCTGCCACTCGGCCTGGTGACAGTGAGGTTTGAATTTGGGAACACCAGGAGCCCCCGAAAGTGTGAGCCCCCTCAAGGGCCATCTACGTGCCTGAGGGATTCTAGCTTCGTGAGCCGGTGGAAGGACTGAGGCTGCGATGTTAGGCCATGGAGACGCACCCCTCTTCCGCTGCAATACTTTAGGTCTGGTTGATTCGACCAGGCTCGAGCACATGAGCAGGTATTTTTGAAACAGACTTTAACACAGCGTCAAGGGCCATGCTGCACTAACTTATTGCGTACTAAGTGGATCACACCACCTTGCTGGGAGGGACTGAACAAGACTTGTGAACCATCGTGCAGAAGATTTCGACTCATTCTGATAGCAATGGGCGAAGGTGCCACCTCAGACGTCTGGAAGCCGCACACTTCAACGTCAAGAGACTGCTTGAGCTGACCAGGCAACCCTGCATGCCAATTGCGTTTTGGTTGCGAGTGACAAACAGTAATTGCAGCATTTAGATTTGCACATCCGTGCCCCTCAAGCGGACCATTTGTTGTCCAGGCCCCTGCCATGAGTTGGGCAGTGTTGCGACCTCCCCTTCCAGCAGGACGCTATACTAATAATCTTGGTGAGTGCGCCAATGTCTTTATTACAATGATTGTCACATTCATTGCGAAGCGAGGCATCGATGAGAAACTCCCTGCTCCCATGCTGGTTTTCAAAGCAGGCTTGCCCGCGGCTGTGTGGTGCTCGTGGCTCTCACTTTGGCTTGACATTGCACAGACAGTTTTAGGCAGGTAGCCTAGCGTACTTTCTGTTCACACGCCCAGGCTTGAGGCGACTTCTCTTCACAACTGCCAACCAAGTCGGAGCGACCAAAAACTCTTGTGTCTGCCAAAACTCTTTGTGTCGGGAGAGGCAACGGGTGTTGCTCCTCTGGTTGAGGGAACCTTCCCTCGCTCGGCTTTCTTGTGCGGGCGTCTCAGGCTACTCCACCATCTCGGTGCCCTTCATGCTGGATTACACCCGCCAGTTTGGCCACTTCTCCCGGAAGTTCCTGGCGGAACAGGCCGGGAATTCCATTTGTGAAGCAGACAGCGCAATTGAATTGCACTCGGACTTTCGGGCAGGAGAAAAGGGCTCCCCATTTGTGACAACTGCCACATGGCGCAGGTGGAGAAGAGCTTGCGACCTGGCTTTCTTGACTTCATGCGCTACCAGGACCAAGGACCAGGATGCGAGTGAACTGAGTGTAAACGAGCTGGGGCATGTGATGAAGGCCGCTTAGGGGATCCCCTGGATTTGTTTGGCGAACTGTAGCAATTCGATGTAATTAGTGCTGTGATAGATATCTTCATATCTTCAAAGCTTCAAAGTGGCAGAGATAGAATTCGTCAAATAACATGCATCCACAGCGCTGGCAGGCAGTAGGACATGTTTCCATACCTTCATGCGTCCGTCGTGTATCTGATGATGCGTGTACACTTGCATAGGGCTTGCGATACCTGTATGATTTTGCCCTAGACCCATGCGAAGCAGACCAAGCTAGTACGCTCGTAGACCATGGCAAGAGTGTAGCGGTTTAGGCAGATGGACAATGATGATCAACACTCAGGAGTTTCATTTCATCATTCTATTCTGCGAGCATAGTGCAGGGCACCCGGGTTTGAGAGGCCCTCAGTGGCAAGTCGGTTGCGTATGCATATTTTGAGAGATGAATCCTGGGCAATATGGCCCTGACAAAGAAAAGTATTTGGCCGTCTCGTTTGTTTCCCTTTGGTATCCAAGCTAAGTGGGTGGCCAACTCAGGGAATGCTTAGGCAACTGCGGCATAGGCACCGCTTGAAAGGCATGAGTTGGGCTGGGGCTTTTAACCCAGGAGGTGTTCGGAAGCTGCCACTGACTATCTCCAAGCCTTGGACTCTTGGCGAGAGGCGGAAATCGACGCTGCCCTACAACTCGTCATGAGTTTGTGAGGGAAATAGTGTACTTTTGATACGGGTTTGAGCTGTGAGAGCTAAGAAAGCATTTTTAGCAGGGAAGCTTAGAGGCGAAGTATGCTAAATGGACAGCGCTTTTCAAAGCGATGTGTACCTTGCCAGTCTGATTTTTTAGAGGATGTGTAAAGACACTCAGTACTCGGATCCTTCCCGACAGACACTCAAATGATGTCGGTGTTTAGACGCTTGCGAGCGGCCTGAACAGGAGCTGACAGGTAAAATGGAGAGGTGTGCCAGGTGTGCACTATGTTTTGTGGCATGGGAAGCACATCTGAGGGTATCTAAATGATGGGAGCTCAAGGGTTTACCGAATTGCTGAACGCCACAAAGTCCTCTGGTACTAGGCCAGGATATCCGCATTTGCAGATCCGAATGGAGACTGAGGTCGCTGCAGGCGTACACGCGCCTCATGATGAAGAGCTACTTGAAGAGCCGTATCTACGAGCAGCTGAAGCTGCATGGCCACATCCCCGAGGTAGACGAGGATACCGATCCTGACGCTGGGACTGATGTCGCCTTGAATGGGCATGGCAAGTTTCAGGGTGCATCAAACAGGACTGATGTGCATCAAACAGGACTGATGTGCATCAAACAGGAGTGATTTTTGGCTTGTTTGCTTAGTCGGGAAAGTGTATGGCTTCAACCGCGGCAATGCGGCTTCGCAGAGGCACAAAGTGGTTGTTTTCCTAGTGGCAATCGGTTAAGGGACGCAACAGGTTTTCTCAACGCCCAGAAGAGGGTCGGCCACCAGCATCTCACAAAGAGAACACTCGCCCGGACTGGCACTCGCCATGTTGCCCCCAAGTTGGTGTGAGGGGCAAGTTGATAGCGGGCGAAAGGCACTTCCATCAAATCATGTAAAACCAAGTGCCTTGGGCAGGGCAGAAAGAACACCCTGGTGGCAAAGAGGTCACGTTGGCCCAATGAGGGAACAAACAGCTTTCCTTACTTGCCTTGCATGACTGGTTGGCCAAGGTTTCCCCTCTTGGCTTGTCAGCGTAGACCTTGATGTCCAGCAGAGTGCTTTTGCTTCCGCACGCAAATGTGGCCGAAGCCAAATGGCCGAAGCCAAATGGCCGAAGCCAAGTGGCCGAAGCCAAGGACATGCCGGTGGAGGCGAGGGTCATGGAGCAGCTCAGCCGCCACGGCGCCTTGAAGGTCCCCGAGCCTTCGGCCCCGCGAGCGCCGAAGCCGAAGCCGGAGCCGGAGCCGGAGCCGGAGGCGAGGGCCCACTTCGTTGGGCCCGGAACACGCGGGAGAGACTCGAGAGACGGGATCTTCGGTATATTGCATGTGCGTGATACCCGTTGCGAATTGTCGCCAGCTCGCTCGGGCTGGGCGATGTGGGTTCGTGAGACTCGGTTCAAGCAGTTGTTGCAAGAGGGGAGGCTGGAGTCTAGCACTACAGGATTGTTCAGGGCTAAGGGAGGTTTGAAGGTCGGGGTTGAAGGCTCAGGCTCAAGGCCCGTGACAACATACTAACAGCTTGAACTTGTGAATTGACATTCCTTGAAGGGATCTGACAATTTTCGAGCAGGTATGTCATGGTGCAATTTAAGTACCTGGCAACGGAGTACCCTGCTGGCAACGAAAACTTCGTGCCAAAGCAACTCCACTCCAACCAACCTGTCGGTGAGCAGCTTAGCAAGGGGGTAAAATCACTAGATGGAATTTCCACACGCGTTTCACCAATGAGTGATGAGTGTCCCACGAGAATGGGAATTAATCTCAGTGAAGTCAAACTTTTGATTGCAAGCTCGAATATGGGGATGCTGTAGCTCACGTCCTGTTCATGAGGTGTTGTTCTAGTAAGTCGCACCAGCACGTGCAAATATATTGTTGTACATGCTCTATCTTTTTTGGACACCTCTTCAATTCGAGGTTCCGCGGCCGGCTCTCTTGGATGCCATCATGGAGGCCCGGGCTCGCACTCTTGGCTGATGATCAACCTCCTAGCAGCTCAGGCAAAATGTTATGTTGAGCACACTCCACCGCTCAGTATTGCGAGATATCGTGAGCAAAGCTCACTTGTTCCCTTGTGATGGCCCGTATTTCTGTTTTCATGATTGGTATACAAAGGGGGTACCATTCTGACGGGTCGCTTTGTTTTGTCTGCCAGCATTTGTGGGTGTTGTTTCCTATCCTGTTGACCCTCAGTGGCACAAGCACAGCACGACACGCATACCAGAGAACGGACCGCAGCCATTGAGATGGCTTTTTGATTATTACCGCATATATGCGCCGAAGTTGCCTACGGGCTTCCAGCATGCATAGGTCATGACTGAAGTACGAACAGGCGGCAAAGGCAGCATCACTCCTTGTAACAACTCTGCGTTGAAGACTGTCTCCTGGTAGCTTGTGAGTTTACGAGCGTCAGACTCCTTCTCAGGCACTTGATCATTTTGGTGATATTTACTTTGAAGTGGGCGGCTTCCCAGCAAGCAGCTTGAAATCGCACAAAGCAGTCATGGAGCGTGACTCGTTGTACTCACAGCACCGCAGCAAGCTTTTGGCCTTGAGCCGCGATGGCATGCCAATGACGGAGGCAAGGGATGGGACGGAGGTTTGGGCCAAGCACTCCAGCTGAGCCCCCTGATACATGGAGGCCAAGCCACTCTGTGCAGTCTCAACGCGTACCTTGAGATTGCTCGCTGAGAAGAAAAAGCAAAACATGATCATGGTAAATAATTTGAGTCTGTCTCTGTTTATGATTCATTGACGGGCAAGGCTGTAACAGACGTTTGCACGTGCAACTCCTTCACCGCATGGCTTGGCCATGGGTGGCGTAGGTCACGAGAAAGGCAGGGCCAAACGTAATAATCTACATTGTCTACAATTTGGTGTCCTTCTACCAACTTGATAATCTACTGTCAACATCTCCAGATGCAGATGCCCACATCAGTTGTTTGCTGTCTTCTGCGATTCTTCTGCGGCCATGGCTTGCCAGGAGCGGGGCTGGGTGCTGGTGCAACCCCACTGGGGTCTTTGCAACCGCCTACGGGCGGTTGTCTCGGGGCACCCCCGGCCTGGCTTCTGCCTCTGACAGCTGGGAACACACGGGCAGAGTTGGCTGAGTGAACTTCGCACGTTTCCTGTACCTGACGAATCTTCAAGCCACTGCCCGGTCAAAGGCGTGCAGCCTAAACAGCACTAAGAAGAACTGGAAAGTTTCCAATCCACACCAAGTCCAATGCTTGGTCCGCTAGTCTACGAGGCTTTCTAGTTGCTGGTGAACATCCTGCCCCAATTGATGCAGCCATTGATACAAGCCAGTGGGCACAGACACCAAGAACAGTGCACTAGGGACTTGGTCCAATGCTTGTGTCGCACCCACGTTTCCGGCAAGCGCACTGCCGTGGCGCACAAGGACAACATTATATACATTGACGTACGACATGGCATGAAGTAAGAACGCATGCAGCATAGAGCAATCGAAGACACGCATGCGTGTTTTGAACGCCAGGCGGATGCTGGCAGAGCACCTGGGCCGGCGTTTCTTGTTGGACTGGCGGCCCTTGCCTGGGTGCAACTGTCCCTGGGAAGGCGGGAAGGGCGGTCGAGACGGTTGCAAGCGGCTGGACGTTTTGAGGGAGGGAAGACCATGGCCATCCCCCTCAGAAGCTCGAAAGGCTTGTTTGCTCTTCTAGCATGTCGAGCTTTCCCTGGTGGTTTTCCACACCTTTTGGGCCAGCGACGTTTGAAGCAAAACTCTGATGCCTCTCCTTGGCTTGGAGCCAGGGCTCTTCAGCACAGAGCTGACGCGATTGGGGGCAGCGGAGGCAGTGGGGGGGGGCGCCGCCGCGGCGACTGGTGCTGGGCCCGAGACTTGTACCCATAAGATCCATTACGGAGCCCTTTTCGTCTCCTGTGTGGCTTCCCCTTTGAGTTAGACGTGTCGGTCTTTCCTTGCTTTGCCACAAGTTCTCGGACACCCGGTTTTCTGGCAGTGTAGACATTGCCACGAACATACACGCACATAATATGTTTAATTTGTAGGTGTATGTATGTATTGCAAGGGTCCCTACTGATTTAATGCTTGGTCGTCACTTTGTACCATTCCCAGGGCCTTGAGTTGCATGAGATGGCTATAGGAGTCTAGATTCCATATAACTCCCTCGCAATGGCATGTTCAGCAGCCTATTGTGGTGTGGAGGCGAGAGTCGTTTACATACCACAAGGAAAGAGAGGCACTCATGACAACCCATGAGCCTGACACAAGGTTGTTTGTGGATTTTCGGCTCAAAGGGCAGTGACGGCCACAAGGGCCTGGCCCTAGAGCCCCGCAGCAAGCCCAGCCATGCACGGTCTAGAGTTTAGACATATTTTGCTGGCAGAACTTGAGAACATGTACAGAATGCTTCTTCCCAGATGTACAAGTCCCATCATTGGCATGAAGTTTGTTGAAGCCGGTGTGAAGTTTAAAGAATCTTTCGGGTAAGCGTCAGCATCCGCCCCGGCGCAGCAGCCGAACCCTGCAGCAGCAGTCGCCCACATTTGCAGATAGAAGCCGCGCCTTGCAAAGCCAATGGCGCTTAAGGATTTCGGCCGCCTTCTAGCGCAGAATTGCCGGCCCCAGTGGCGATACATCGCCTGCGAGATTTTGCTGCTTGGTGTTTTGAGGGCGTGGGCAGCTAGCATCATCATGTTATGTCAAGTTGCTCATTACTCTGAAGTAAAGATGGGGTGAGATCAGGTTCATTTTGCTTATTTGCAGCCTGTAACAATTACACCCTTCTCAGCACGGGCTTGACTTTTCCTGGTAGAAGGCTTTTGCTCGCATTTCATTCGCTGAACTTCAAGCCTTGGTAGATCTGGAAGGAGCGTACCATTCCATCCAATCGCAAGACCATTCGCAGTATGCGACATTTGGATGGCATCGCACACATCCTAAGCTGCAGCAAGATCTGCATTGGCTCACGTCATGCAAGTTGCAATCGCGCTTGCCACTTGAGGAAAGAGATGCTCAGAGACCCGAAACAAGCTGGGTCCTTCTTGGAAGCACTCCTACATGAAATCGCAGAGGCTGGCCTGTTCTGTATGCCGTACATATGTGTTTGCATTTGTAGACATAGCCACGCCGGGTCACCAAGCACCAAGTGTGTAATATGGAAGTGTTAACCTGACGCTTTCACACACATACACACATTCAGAGAAGGAGAAGGAGAAGGAAAAGGAGAAGGAGAAAGAGAAGTGTAGTACAAGTGCAAAGTACGCGAAGCACACTTCTGCAGCTCCATCTCGAAATTGCAACTTTGTAATACAAGTGTAGCGCGCGAGAAGTGCATCCTATGTCACAATGCCCCGGGATACCCGGGGCTTGGCTGTTTGATTGTCTTCCCAACTGACACGTGTGTCTTGAATTTTTGTTTTGGCGTGTGCTCGTTTCAAAGAGTGGTTGTTTTCATCAATGAAATCACAAGGAAGAGGTTCATACCCTGGAATATTCCATATGGATACTGCTAAACGCAGGTGAATGCCTTCCAGCAGCTCCACGAAAGCGACTCCCTGGAAGGCCTGTCCTCGGAAGAGTTGCAGGCCGTCGCGATGATCAAGCAGTTGGCAGCGTTTAAGAGCCTTGGTGCACAAACAAGCAGCAGATGAACCGGTCTCCCTCTTAATAGTGAGCAAACAGCAGCAACAGTTGTCTTGCAAGTACCCCAGTTGGTGCTCAATGTATGATTGGCCTGTTGGTTAAGCACCAAGCTGAGCTTCATATTTGCTGCCTTTTCGGTTGCTTCTTTCCTTATTTCTTTGGATCTTGGACCTACCGATGGCCCAAGAGGTCAGTTTCTGCAGAGGGGTATGTATGTGGAATCTTTGAAGGGTGGGAGCAAGTTTGCCATAGGTGCTAACAATTTCCATATTCGAAGCTTTGGGTTGGCTGCCTCTCTGCAAGTTTTTGCAGCTCAGGCTCCTTCAGAAGCATGAGCGGTCGGGTCACAGAGTGCCCTTTTGCACGAGTGGTCTTCTCACGAAGAACGAAGGGCTTCTTGGATGCAGCAATTGAGCTCCATGTGATACCCAATAGCTGTGACCATACTGCAATGGGTCCAAAGGCTCGTTTTGTTTGTGCATTTCCATGTATGCTACGTGCAAGGGTTTGATGAGTGGATCGCAACGGAAGATTTCGGGAGCCGTCGAAGTGCAGAGATTTTGGGCACTCCATGAACGCCGCCCTTCCCGCACACACTGCAGGTTGATGAGACAGGCCACAGCCAAAAAGAACCTCGGCCAGTAAGTACTAACTTGTTTCTGGAACACGTAATTATTGCTTCTTTGCTGCTCTTGATTTGCTCTTTTTCCGAATCTGTGAGCTAATCCTTTCTTCCGAACATTAATCGCGCCTCCCCCAATAAGGAACGCGTTTTCCTGGCATGTGTTTTGAAGGGGGCTCCTTTTTTTTGTGGCAGGGAGTATTTTGAGTTGTAGCACAAAGTGCACTTTCTTTCCACGGATCAATAAAGCTAAACGAATGCACTTTTGAGCAAATCCCAGATATTTTAATACAAATTGTTTTAATAACGAAATTCAAATAGCAGCTAGCCAGTTTCGGGTTCTCTTGCTTGCGGCTTCTGAAAGGAAAGGATTGGGGGGACCCCTAATTGGGCTCGAGTGGGTGTCACGAGGGAAAATCGCTGGTTGAGTACACTCCCTGGAATTAAACAGGAAGTCCGTGCTCTCAGAAGTCCCTCTAACATGGAAGTCCCTTCACCGTCTTTTCCTGGGGAAATGCCTGTCTTTTTTTTTACTGGGAAGGTACGACCATCTCCTAACATAGAATCTGTGCCAGGTGCCCCTCGCCACGGCAAGCCTGGGGTTTCCCAAAACAACCCTAGATTCTTCGGGGGGCCGGTTTCGAGCCTGCACTTCCATGTAAACAAAAAACGAGAGTGAAAACACACGTTCTGACCGACGAAAGTATCCTAACATAGAACCTGAAAATGGGCCCTGCACTTCCACGTGAAGGAGAACACGTGTGCTTAACCTTGAAGTGCAGGCTCGTCGTTTGCCATATTGTTTTTCGGGGGTCAATAGGGAAACTATGATTATGTTAGGAGCGGTTTCGCATATCCCTGAGAAAAGTCGTGAAGCGGCAAAAGTCGTGAAGCGGCATTTCCCCGGTCGCTTAAAATTACGGTGTGTCCGCCCGCTAATGCTAAAAAATGCTGTTTCCGAGTCAATCTCACCCCACATGCCCAGTTGTACGGCGTACCTAGGTGGGGTTCTGGGCCAGTTCTGGAAGGGGTGTGGGGGGAGTTCGGTTTGTGTTGGGGGGGGGGGGGGGGGTTAGGGTTTTTGAGGGTTTGAGGGAGCCGTTGCCCAAACCATCGTCGGAAGTCAGCTGCGTGTTCCGAAATGTGGAAGCCGACCAAAAAAAACCAGGGACTTCTATGTTAGCATTTATCAAAAGCCTGGTTTTTTCGACTAACCTGCAAAAAAATAAAAAATAAAAGCTTCGGAGCTTCCTGTTTAATTCCAGGGAGTGTATTTGTTTAGAATTGGCCCATTCTAAATGTGTTGGGGTTTGGAAAGATTGTTTTTATTATCAGGGGGCTCTGTACTATTTCGATTATTGCTCTTATTGGTATTAGCGTCATCATCAATTGTTCATGTTCCTATTATTTTTTCGTGCCATGATCACTATGCACCAGCGACAATTACATCCATCAAAAGGCCCCCCAATTGGTGATGAACATTGTGGTCCTGCAAGGGGCTGCATGGCGGGGTTTGATAAGCCTGGGACGAAATACACCCCCCCCCCCCCGCCCCACAGGGCCATCCCAGTCAAGGTTCATGAGAACACAATCGCTGCACATAAGCCGATGATCAGCATCAGTTCAAAGGAGGAATCCGGCATAAGCAACATAGCACCAAATTATGTCCTGCATAATGCATCTTCCATCAATGATCACACGCACATACGCATGACTACTGATGAGCATACCTCTTCTGGTTCAAACACACCCTCCACACGAGGGGCACTGGTGATAAGCACACTCGTTCGGCGGTGCTGCCCAAAAGGTAAACGGTGATGCAATCTGTTTTGGCTTTGGTATGCAACTGAAGCTCCAAATGGTTAGTTTCGAAGTGGTTTCTATGACCGTCAGACAGGGAACGTTCCATTTTGAGCCATCTTCTGGGGTTCGAATCAGCCTTGTAATAGTCTTAGGTGGACACAGCTTTGCCAGTCGCTGCTCTTCATGTCTGCGGCTGCAGACGTTCTAAGTCGACTGCAAGGCAGCCAGGTCTGGAAAGCAGCTGCGGCAGCACGGCGGCAATCGGCGGATGCTATTGAACGTACAGGGGCTCCGATTCAAAGGAATCAAATCTTGGCCTCTTTGAGAGTCACGTTCAGTCTTTTGGGTATGCAAGCTGCTACTACAGTATTGGTTGCCGTTTTGTGAAAAAAAGTTTCTGTCAAAAAAATAGATTGTTTGTGTGCCTCCTGCCGTTTGCCACGAGTGTTCTCATGTGCGGTTTCAACACATGATACACACACATGAATATGTGTGCCAAGTAGATGAACACAGATGTGCTATGCAAGTGGACTAGCATACCGTGAACCAATAGTTGTGGACACATGATTTGAATCATTAGCATAATTCCATTTTCTAGACTTGCCCAAATCACTTCTGACTTTTTCTCAGCAATATTTACAAGCAACTGATTGCAGTGCCGCCATCTTGCAGCCAACAAGTCATATTATAAAGCACACTGCAATAATAATGCTCTTAGTGCTGATTGGCATCCTTTGGGGAGTGCACCCGGAGAACAAACACGAGCATCCAAGACGAAGCTCATTCGTGGATATTGTTGAGGAACGTTTGTCCCTCACTGCAATTTGACTAACCCCTCTCACAACTTATTCCTTGTTGGTGTGGTCCACCCAAGTGAGCGTACCTGAGCTTGGCACCCTCCACCCTTTCAACAAAATGGCCGAAAAGGAGCTTTTCCAACGGAACGCGTTTGAGCCCTTAGCAGTCAGGAGCTTGTAGCCTTCAGATTTCTGGGCATCGTCTTACTTTGGGAATCCTTTTGGACAAGGCCAGAATCAGGTTCTCCCTTGAACCAGGCTCTCCTCTGAAGAAGGCGTCATTTGGAATGCATCTCTTCCTCAGGCCCTCTCTTTGACAGCCTCATGTATGCCTGCGCACTTGCAGAACGGTCAGATATATATATATATACAGACAATCTGGAGGGCCTTCCTTCGCATGGGAATCGACCTTTCAGTCGCTGAGTATTTGCACTGCATTCTCAGGCGCTCGAGCACAAGACGTGCCACGAGATCTGGGCCCACCCGACCTTGCCCCTGGCCGATGCCAAGGATGCCTTCCTTCCGAAGGAGACGCGGGTGAAGCTTATGACCTGGAACGCCTGTTCCCTGTCCTTCCCTTTGCGCATTCACCCCGCCAAGCTCCTGCTGGGCATTTTCCTCGGCTTCTGGTGGCACGACCCGCAGCGTGACGTGCCTCTGCAAGTCCGCAGCAGGGCAGCCAGGGAGCGCTGCCAGCGGCAAGCGGAGTACATCCGCCAGTCTGGGGCAGATCTTATCATGCTCCAAGAAATGCTGAGTACGACGCTTTCCGGCTTAGTGCAGTTTGATGCAGCAGTCAGGTAGAGTAGAGACTCATAGTGAGACAAAGCATGGGCTGCTAACTGTAGGAAAGTCTTTGATACCCACCTGGCAATTGGCCTGATTGTCCATTTAGTTATATTGGCCCTTGGCCGCTTTGCAAAGGGATATGATTTGACTTGCCAGCCAAGGACAATGCTAGAGACATTAATGTGCCATCTCGCTTCGGACTTTGATTGCGCGTACCTCACTTGCCGACCCACACTTTCTGCAGTCCTCTTGTGGACCCTCTTCCTGCTGACTGTGGCATTTTGGCAATGCGCTCTTCTTCAAATCTGCTTGATGGCATCTTGGCTTGTCCCATGCATTCTAAGGGTTGATTCCCCATTCTTTCGTCACACGAGCACTCAGTGCAACGATCGGTCTTTCCAGCCGGTTTCGGCTCAGTTTTTGATTTTTTCTGCAGCGAGCACTGACGCATGCAGAAAGTTGTCCTGCGGGCTAGGGGTAGGGCCAGTAGACTAAACAACCCCTTCCCCTGACCTACCAAAGTCATGCCACTGCAGGCCATCGATCTTACTGGCAGCGTTCTGTTTTCAGGGGCATCGTTCTTTCCCTACAACCATCGTTCTTTCCCCAGGGCCATCGTTCTTTCCCCAACCATCGTTCTTTCCCCAACCATCGTTCTTTCCCAACAACCATGATCATTTCCCTTCTTTCCCCACCCCATCATTCTGTCCCCCAGCATCGTTCTTTCGATCAAAGATCAGTGTGTCCCTTTTTTTTTCTCCGCTTTTGCATCTGTTTTGGGTGAAAATTGGAAAACCAGAAAGAATGGGGAAGTATTGTATGAGGCCATATTTTTGGTTAAAACCCATTCTTTCCAAGCATCCAATTTTCTAGGATTTCCGGTCTTTCCTCCCGAAAGTGATGACAACTGCTGCGTGGGCTGCTGCGTGGGCCCCCATTGAAAGAATGAGGAAGTGAATTGGAAGCTTGTGGAAAATTGGATCGCGGGCACCACTTTGGTGGGTTGGCTGATGAGGGGCCCGCGGTGCTATCAGGAGGATGCTTCAATGCTTGCCGTGAAGCCACGGGCTGTATGTTTGTCAGTGTCGCCTTGGCAATGATTCATGACATGGATGTGGGCAAAACAAGAAGGGCAAGGCTGACCGCCCCTGCTTGGGAGAGGCCTGGTGGGCTGCTGGGAGTCGGCAAAGGGAGAGAATTGGAATTGTTGAGTTTTAGCCTTGCTTGGGTGGACTGCTTTGATGGCAATTGTCGTTGCATCCATTTTGGGGGATAATTGGGCTAGCTCTTCAGAATGGGGTGGTGTGGCTTAGATGCATAGCTTTGTGGTCAGAGGATAACTCGTTTGAACCAAAGTGGAGATAAAGCTATTTAGTCGAATGCGGGTTTGGCCCTTTGACATTGCCAGGTTTGGTCCACCTCGGCCCTCGGCTTCTGCGGGCGTTGGCTGATGCTGGCGATTTGGCTGGCGTTGCGGTCTCGGGGCGCCGTTCCGTTCCACTTCCTCTGCGGGGACGTGGCTGGGCAGCTGGTGGTGCTGCGCCGCCAGCGCCCCGAATGCAGTTGGGGTCCCTGTGGCTTCCCTGAGAAGACAGATACGTTTGTTTCATTCAGAGTCAAGAATCATGTTGGGATTGTGTAAGGAGGTTTCGGGTTTGGCTTTCCCTTTTCCTTGAAACCGGAGGGTTCGAAGGCTCCTCGTTTACTTTGAGCCCAGGACCTCGAGGCTTGAGGCGTGCGTGGCGAAGGAGTTTCAGGCCTTCGACGCCCTGGGGCACCAGCTCTTGGCGAGGCGGCTTGGACGGTCAGTTGGATGGTCCTGAAGCACGGAAGGGCCCCTAGGCTTTGTTTCTTTTGGATTCTCTCGAAACAGGTTCCCAAACGCCACATGGACAAAGCTCCATTCTTAGTGGCCAAACCGGGGTTTACTGTTCACCTTGCATCAAAAATGCCGTGATGTATGGGCGGAGCCAGCCACTTCTCTCTCTTGTTGAGACATGGCCTATGACCAGCCGCTCGGCAAGGTCTTGGCTCTGCGTTTTCTTCAACGTCCGGCCGCGCGGCATCCTGCGGGTGACAGTGCCTTTGGGGCCGAGGACAGTGCGGAGGCTGATGGATCGTAAACCGTGCAGCATCCTGAGAGTTGCGACTTGGATTTGCTCGACATGTTGGGCGAAATTAAATGGCTTTGTCAGTCCGAAAAAGATGGGTCACGGTTTCTTGACATTTGCCTTCGGGTCATCGCAAAGTCGAATTCCCCTTGAGTCGCTTTGCAGGCGAAGGCAAATACCAAGCCTTTCGGAAGGGCTGCCAATGTTGAGAAGGAATCAGCCACAAACGCATCGAGTCCCCATTTGGCTGAGCACGTTTGTATGAGGCATGAGAGCCACGTTCACGTTTGCCAAGTGGCATGCTGTGGTGACTTTGTAGTTTGGAGGATGGGCAGTTTGACTCTGCTGAACACCCACCTGCCCCACAACAGCGACAACTCCAAGTTGCTGTGCCTCACCCAAACAGCGGCAATGCAGTTGTGCTGTCGGCAGGGCCGGTTTGCCGCTGCTGTTGAAGTTGGTCTTGGGTGTCGAAGCCGAACCCGGGTTTGTTTCTGTTTGCTTTTGTTTTGCCTTCTTGGTTTACTGTGTGTGTGTGTTGCTGCTGTGTTTCCAGTGTTTTACCTCTGGAGGAGGGAATGCGAGCTTTTCAGGCGTTGTCGTTTCCTTCTGGTCGCTGCAGGGCCTTTGAAATGCGGTCCAAAGGAAAGGCCGCACAGGGTCGCAGCCAACCTACTGCATGTGAGCTTTCGGATTAATCCCGAAGACCATACTAATAAGGGGTGGTTTCCGCTTTAGAAATGGGATTCCTCCGACTAGTAGGGCCCTCCATCTAATCCGAAGTCAACATTACTACCAATCATGGACGCCGTCAGTGAGCTATCGTTGAAGGCATCGGTTTGTTTAGGGGGCTTTTTCTGTTTGATCAGAAAGCATAGGTGCATGGGCTGCAGCCTGCAAATCCGATCAATGTGATAGGCTGTTAGATGTTCGATCGTTGCGTGGGGGTCTTGGCCTTTGAGGCCATGTCGCAGAGCTACAGTCCGGCGACTGGTCCCCGCGCGCTCGCCCAGGCGCAGTGTCAGCAGCTATGCCTCGTCCTTTGCATGTCACGGCCCTGTGGTCTTGGCAGGCAGGGCTCAAAGCATTTGAATCAGGCGATGTTCCGCTGTTCGCGGGTTTGTCTGACAGGCTTGAGGTTTCAATCGACATAATTTGATATAGGCATGTGCTCAGGATTTCCATGATGGTGAACATGAGGGGGTAAATGGGCTAAGCAACAGCAGCCTCGGGACTTCTGTCCAGCAAGGGAACGAAAGCCAACGCTCAAGACGTGATCAACTGTGGCACTGTATCTTTGCAGATCGCCACCATCAGTTGCACATGACATGTGCTTGAGTGCTTTGCCATCAGCCGCGGTGACCATCAGCACCCTTGGTCAATTCCACATGCTTGCATGTTCAAACTATACAATTCTCGTTTGGGTTTGAAACTCTCAGCAGAATGTGACATTCCCCGCTCAATCTGCGCCGCAGGGGACTTCAACCCACAGCCCCACATCGAGCTTCAGCAGCAGCTGAAGCCCTTGCTGGCTGCTGGGCTGGTGCCGACGGATGGTTTGGAGGAGCTACTGGGCCAAAAGATGATGGCTGATCCGTTTGGACATGCACCAGCCTCGTGTTTGCTGGCTAGACAAAATTGCCAGCGAGCAGTTTGGGTCCTTTGCGGCTTGGTTGGTGGCAATCACGGACAACTGGATGTGGTGCCCAAACCAACGTACATGATGCACGTGGGGTGTCCCTGATCCCCGAGGCAGCACTGCACCTGGGACTTGCAGCAGCCCTTGACTCGTCGCAACCCGGGCACTCCACGGACCATGCAGCTGGACTTCATTTTCCTGAGGCCATGGGCATTCGCCTTTGATCTTTGGCATCGTCCTTTTGCTCTTTCTTCTTCTTCTTTTTGCACTGTCTGGTCCTTTGTCAGTTGGTTAAACGATAGAAGGCTTGCCCGTCAAGGAATCACGAAGGACATCATTGTTGTTCGAATGTGCGACTGTTCATGCGAACAAGCTTCTGCATCCGTTGCCGTGTGTTGTGTGTTGCTGGCGCTCACGGAGCAGCTGCGGCTCGACTGTTCAGCGATGAAGGTTATTCTTGTAGAACTGAAATGGGTTTGCTGCAGAGTATCTTGGAGGCAGGCAGTGGTTTGGAAAGTTGTCCGTGTGCCATGTTATCTCAACAATTCTCAGCTTTCTGCAAGAAGGCAGAAATATTGTTCCAGAAAGGGAAACTGTGACGGCTCTCAACGGTTGGCTTGCCGTTTGAGTCCCTGCAGAGGTCGCACGACGAGGTTTGTCCGTGTGAGGACGCCTCTCCTCGCCGGCGCTTGCTGAGCAAAGATTCGGAGCACGACGGGGGGAAACGTGTCGAGGCCAGGGTCTTGGGCACTGCAATCGTTGACCAGGACAAGTTCGTAGGAGCTCCACTTTCGGATCACTACGGCCTGCTCAGTGAACTTGAGCTGGGCTGGAGATGTTGGGCAAAGCCCCATTGTCACGAGCACATAGTGGTTTGCGAATGACAGTACAGACGGCATGAAGTCTGAGAATGGAGACTGAGCGATGCCATGCCATTGCACCTTTCTATGGTTGTAGAAAAAGTGAAGTGGATTTGCCGTGGTTGCACCGTTTGGTTCGCTCAGAGCTTGCCTGGGTTTGGCAGAGTACTACGTGTGATGGGAGGGAGATCCCCTTTCAGGCGCACTGCTTTGCTTTTGTGAGTAGAGTCGCTTGCCTGAGCAGAGACCTGGATTCCGCAAGGAGTCAAGGCAGATGTTGCTGCGAGGTTCCCTTTGTTTTCTGGAGCAGGCAGATTATAGCGGGTCATGGTCTGGACCTTATCTCCAAGCTACCTACGCTGGACATTTAGAAGGGGAACAAGCCTTGAGACCACACAACTCACTTTGCGCACCAGAAACGGTTCCTCCGAGAGACGATCCCTGGGAAAAGTTGTTCCGTTTGTGTCAATTAGTTGTTTGAGCGAGCTAACATATCTCGCTATTCTTAATTTGCCTGCCAACATAGCCTGGGATACAGGAACGAGTACCTCAGCGATCTCCCAGAAGTTAGGACTGGCAAAGATGGTCATGCATCAGGAATGTTTGGTCCCAGGCTCGGCATGTCTGTTGATCCCCGAACGTGTGCAAACGCCCCGCCCTCAAGTACTCTGAAAAGCAAACTTGGAATCTACATTGAAAGCCAGAGCCAGCCGCTCAATTGGCGGCCAGGAAATCAGGTATTCCCAGTTAAGTGAGTGAAGCGATCATGATTCCAATCAAAAGAGTTGGGAGCTTCAAGCTGAACTCATGTCCCTAGTCATTGGGACCCCTTTTGGTCTCTGCTCAACAGGAACAGATCCTTGGCCAGCCACAAGAGCACTGGTCAGCGGCGAACGCCGTGTCCTTCATGGGCAGTTTCGGTCTTGAGAAGGGACTGACACCAGGCCACGCTGGCAACCCCCCCAAAAAGCGAAATTAAGGGTTGAGGCGACCACAGCTTCCCGCCCTTGAAGGGGAGCAACTCATGCTACGCTTCTTTCCGCTCCTGGTGTTCCTGTAATCACTCTTTCGTGCTCTGAAAGGAGCAGCCACCCAAAGGTTGTGATTCCATCACCCCAGGTAGTGCTTTTGGTAAGCAAGCGCAAGAAGCAGCTGCAAGCCTTTGCTGGTTCCTTTTGACCGTTGTGAACAGGATGTTGCGATCTCATAGTGGGAGGTGATCACGGAGCACATGGCCAAGCTTGCACACCCCAGGGTTCAAAGCTTCGTCAAACCATAAGACTCATAGAGTCCTACAAGCGAAAGGGACGCGGGAATCTCACTGCGTGCTTTCTGTTTTGCTTTATGGTGCAGGAGTCTCACCCAGTGATTTTGTCCTGATGACCGGAGAAATCACCCATGGATTCTTATTTGATCACCTACGTCAAAAGATGACTAGCTTCTTGAGCAAATTCACTCAGGGGGAAAGGGCCTTCTCCTTTGCCAGGCAAAGCTAGAAGCTGTTGAACATCGCAGCTTCCCCGTTGTTTGTTGTTAATGAAAGCAGCTCCCTTGCTTTGTTTCTTTGTGCAAATGTCAGAGATCCCTTTCGGGATTCCTCCAGCGGTCACGGGAGTCGCAATCCAATGTCTTGTTTTCAATCCGTCAGAGATCCCCGGCGACCTGACTTGCAGTCAACGGAGCCCAACTGCTCAGGACCCCTCGCTGGAAGCTGCTGCAGAACTTATGGAGCTCTGGGACCAGGCAAGCCAGAGACAGCGTTCATGAGTTTTGGCCAAACTTCTGAGCTTGTGTTTGAAGCAGTTGCTGTTTGTCACCTGATGTCGTGGTTCGGTGGTTGGTTTGTGGAAGCGTTGGTGCCATGTGTTGGCGTTGGTTGTGCAACAACTGTTCGCAGCTCGGCCGCTTGCCGCGGAAATTGCATGAAACGCTGGCTTCCTGCACTGACCAGGCCATATTTATGACTGTGCGAGTGGGAACATGCTTGTTTCGGGGGCACAGGAATCCCAAGATTCTAAGATGTTAAAGTTTAGGGATAAGCTTCGTGTGAAAGCTTCCCGCTTAAGTTCTGGGTTGGGGCCAGGGACGGAGCTGCGGAATGGTTGTGAATCATGGGTGTACAATGCAAGGATACTATGGTAGGGAGACGCAAACACGTTGAAGTTTCATGCATCACAGCTCTTCCCACAAGTTGCTTGAACTTATCTTCATCATTCAGCTTGCTCGTGCAGTCAGCTTTGAATGTCGAGGCAGAGCAGCAGCTAGGGTCCTCGTAATCCACCAAAACAATCCAGAAAAACAAAGCCAAACACCATGGGGTGGGAACATCTGTTTGTTGAGTTGTCGTTTTGGGTTTGCGAGGACCCTGGTAGCGTGACAAAGAAAGGGCTGCACAACATTGCTCTGCCAGCACGCCTGAGGTGACCATCTTGGCACACCTGGCATGTGGCGCTGTGCTGTCCATTCTCGCAAATCGGACCGAAAGTTGCAGGAAGCAAAGGAGTGGCCTTGGCTCAATGAATTAGCTGGACTCTGACAGGATTGGGAAAGGGAGTTGGTTGAGGGTAAGAGCTGACTGCTTGGGAGCTGTTGTTTGGAAGCGATGGTTGTCTTTTTGTGTGGGGAATGATGGACAAGTCATTTTGAGGGTCAGGTCTTGGGAGACCCTGGCTGGCATTTTCTCACGGCAGGCGAAGTGCCGGCCTGAGAGTGACGAGCTCAGGAGGGGCGCATGGACGCGCAGCTTTGCAAGGCATGGGCTGGTGTTTAGTTGGTGACAGGTGGAGAACAAAATGAATGGCACAAACAAAAGCTGAACACATTTGAGAATACGTCCCAGTTGCCACACGTGAAGGAGAGCTGTCCGCGGCTTCAACTCTTTCCATCGGGAGTGCTTCCGGGCAGGCGCGGACGGATAGAACAGCTGCGAGACAATTCTTTGTTGATTGGTGGGTATGACTTTTCTCACTCGGAACTAGAGGACTTTCAGTCAACGAGACTAGATTCAGACAGGTTGCGCCATGAGTCCTCGTCACAGGACTCCGTTTGGCTAGTAATTCGTGCTGAGTTTGGCTTCCAAGGCTGCTGAATGCTGTCTGTCGTGAGAGAA